TTTGTACCCATGTGATAGGCGGAAGTCTCCAGCTTGGAGAGAGCGTGATCTTGCTCGTTCTCCTCGACAAACCGGAGTCGAAACTCGGAAACGAACGAGCCCCAGGACGGAAACGGAAACGGGGCTTTGCTTCCGTGGCGCTCCGCCCATTGCTGAGCGGGTCCTTCTGCCATAAATGACATGGCATAGCGGACGGCCTTTTCCTCGCTCGCCTCTCCGTTGACCACGAAGGCCTCCAGGGGCAAGGCGGGCGTAGGTGCGGACCGCGTAAAGGAACGCGCGGCCGCGTTTCCGGTCGCCGTTGAAGGTGAACAGGGGGTTTGGTCGCAAGACCAATTTTGAGGCGAGGTTGATGTCGCCAAAAAGGGCTTCGGAGTCGCCCTGGACCGGAGTCGGAGTCGGAATCGACGTCTCCGGCGATGGTGTTTGGGGTCCGCCAGCATTATTAGCGGCGGCAGCGGCAGCGGAAGCCTGGTTGGTGAGTAAAGCAAGGGCCTCAGTTAGGCTATTGATTTTCGCCTCGAGTGAGTCCAGCCGGGCGTCTGCGGTAGGAGTGACTCCGGACGGCATGACGGGTGCGGGGACCACAGGAGTAGAGGAGGAGGGGACAAGTGGCAGGGGCGGTGACGAGGGGCGGAACGGACTCGTACTCCGAGCCTGAGTCAGTGCCGAACCTGGCAATCTTGTCCGGTTGATCCCGTAGAGAGTTTCTTCTGCTGTAAGGGCAACCCCCGGAGGCCTGAGATCAAGGTCCTAGCAGGGGAGGATCCGAAGAGTGAACATTGGTAGCGAATACAAATGAAGCTGACCTAGCAGGGGAGGATCCGAAGAGAAGAAACTCTAAGGGTCCGCCTGCTAGGTAGCTGACTATATACTGCTTGTCCGTAGCTGCCGCTGTCGGGCACAGAAGGCTTGGGCGGCGTCGCAGGCGAGGTCCCAGGGCGACCGTCCGGGAGGGCGTTGACGGATCGGTGATTGTGCGGGCGAGATGGAGGGCCGGACCGGAGTCAGAACCGGAGTCGGACCGGAATCGGGCGCGTCTCCGGGCCGAAAGGGAGGTTCCCCTGACATCCGGGCCGAAAGGGAGGTTCCCCTGACACGGACACACATGAACACGTGAATTTCACATGCCACCCCTCGGATACCACCTGCCAGTCGGTGAGCGGCCGTGTGGGCACTGTAAAAACATTTTATTATGTTCCATGCCACAGGCACGGGCACGGACGTTTATACTTGTTTAAAATTATATTCTCATTTTTGCAACTCACATGATTATTGCCACCTGGCAATCAAACCTGGCTAAATGGCAAAACCATGGCTAAATGGCAATTAAATCAAAAAAAAAACAAAAAAATCGCCATATGCATTCAATATCACAATGACTTTTGGCTCTATGATTGGTTAACCCAGAAGCAAGAAGAAAAGTACTAGTATTTCTGAATTTGGTCCGTTATGTATCAGGTGATACGCCGTCAATGACGTGGCTCCCCACATGATTGATGGATGCCTATCACTCCTTACTTCTAACCACCATCTCGGAATGTCGACGTCCATATCTTCGCTTCCTCCGGAGATACTGCTCGAGATCTTCATGCACTCTCTCCCTGCGGCTCCCTATCTGGACAAGACGCGTTCTCACTCCCGCGCCACTGCTCTTGACGCACGTCTGCTCAGCCTGGCGGGGGCTAGCGCATGGCCACTGGCCACTGTGGGTCAACATCACCATCTCGCTGCCAATCGAGTATAGGTTGCGCCTCCTACCCTTATTGCACGAGTGGCTGAGCCGTGCCCGCGGCCATCCCTTGACGCTCGTCCTGCGCCACTTCTACCGGCGCACGACGATGGATCTCCTTCGGGCCTTCCCAAATGTCGTCAATCTTACTATCGCCGACCATTACTGTCTTGCGCGGCCGCAGACGGACCACGTCATATTCCTGCCGGCTCTCACACAGTTTTCGCACCAGCACCACGGACATTCCTTACACTGGTTTACCACGCCCAATGTCCGCCGAATGCACAGCAGCGATCGTATCGTGAACATCACTGCCTGGCTTCAGCGCTCTGGCTGCGGCAACATACTCACCGATCTCTCCGTGGCAATGAAATTCGCCTATGGCACCGTGCGTGATCCGGAGGGCTGCCTGCGCGCGCTGTTCAGCGCGACCACTGCCCTGGTCCGGCTCCATATGCGGGAGCACTCCGACAGGCCCGATGAGGAAGGCAGCTGGGGACGGGGCTTGTTGGACGTCCTCGCCGACCCGGGAATCGCACCCGAACCGGCGGAGCTGGACATGCAGTTGTGGGCGAGCGAGCAGGCGCCTGCGGAAGACTGGCGGTTTCTCGTCGAATTCCTCCGGCAGCGTCATCCCGGCTCGTTACGCACAGTCGCTGTCAGCTTCCTTGGTGGGGAAAATACGAGCATGCCCGGTGACGTACGCGCGGAGTTGGACAAGATGGGGGAGGAGGGGCTGCACCTGCGCATTCAGCAAGGAGCACCGTTTCAGGGAACATGAATGTTTCCCTCGACTGCTTCCATATATTCATATCCATCCTTCCCTCGACCGTTATAACCTAAATCAGCGTGCAGCATCTCTGCTTCAAATCTTCGATCTTCATTCCCAAGACAGCGTGATCTCCACAGAACCATTTCTGCTCTGTGTATCTATCTACGCACTCCGCCAGCCCATTGTCCTCCCTTCGCGGTTACAATTACGCACGCTAAACTTTGCTTGCGCGATCCTGGCGAGATTGACAGGACAATGGCGCGTCGCGGGACGTTCTCGCGCGAAGCGCACACAAATCAAACACGTTTTTGCCGTTTTCGGCGTGCATCCCGTGGACGCAAACTTTGCACAGTGGCGTGGCAGGCCGGGCGCTGTCTCGCTCTGATCTCGCCCCAGATACACAACTCACGCAGCCGATCCAGCGAGTCACCCGCCGGGCTCCGATCACCCAGTCGCCGTTCGGGGTTTCCGCATGCGGCGTGGGAGCGCGATGCGGTGATGCGCGCGCCGCGTGGTGTTGCCAAGCCGCGGGGTCGCGATCGTCGGGAGGGCACCCGGCTCGACTTTTGCAAATCGCGAATTTGCGTGTGTGGGCGGCGACGCGTCGACTCATTAGGCCCGATCGGGGCGCGGCGTGACCGCGCCGCGCCATGCCTGTGGCGGGTGGAGTCGTGACTCCGAGTCGACGCGGGAATGAGTGGTGAAATCATAACGCAGGGAGGGAATCACGGGCGGGGAGGCAACAGTACTAAGATCCAATTTGTAGGTAAGTTAACGTTGCGCAATCACCCATTGTCCCTTCAATCTAAAAAAATGTAGTGCTGTACGAACGGACGTTCCGGCCAGCGCGACTACCCCTCCGCCCTCCCATCTGCCCCCCGGCTCGGACAGTCTACTCAGAGCCTTGAGCCGCGGCCACTGGTCGTCGTGAGGTGCCCCTCAAGTTTGCTCGCGCCGGAGATTAACAAACTCTAAAGCTGGCATCATGATCGTGGGTCCGTTGATCCCGATGACCCCTTGCTGTGATACCGCGCCAAACCGCATCCGGCGGACAATGGGCCCTCGCCCCCGGGCCCTTCTCTTCGCCTCCATCGTGCAGAATTCCGAGCATGATGCCCGCCGACACGTGGCGCTGTCGCTCGACGCGCGCAGCCCAGGGTCCCGCCGTCTGGTGGGTCCAGCAGAGTGCCCAGCTGGCGAGGACGGAGAATGACTGGAGGGCGGACTCCCATGCATGGGAATCCGCGCGTAATTTCCGGCCTGCGATCGGGACGTAAGTGGGTGTCGTCGCACGCTGTCATGTCCTCCCCCGCATCCGCATCAGCGCACCGCCGCCGCTGCGACAGAACAATGAGAAATCTGCGACTGGAGGAAAGAGGCCTCGGAGGAGGCGCGAGGCGGGACAAAGCAAGCAGCCGGCGCTTCTTGGCATGTGCGTCGTGCGCTTCTTGGCATGTGCGTCGTAACGGAAGGAGGACGGGTGATGCGATTGATACGCGGGGAAGCGAGACGCGGGCACGTGCGCGCGTGGGCCGCATTTAGGCCCGATTTGGAAATGACTCGGGTGGGCGTGGCGGAGGGAGGGAAGTGCAATGTTCGTGGGCGTGGGCGACGGCGGCGGTGGGAGGCAACTCGATCGTGGCGGCGTACGTGTCCTGGCCACTGGCAGGAAGGACGGAGGACCTCTTTGACGCCGCAGCCAGAACAGAGGTTGCTGTTGAAGCTTGAAACGAATCCGAGGGTTCCGTGTGGTGCGCTGCCTCGAGGCAGGCGAAACACCATTCGGATGATGAGCTGCTTATATCCCAGCTTCTGCGTGACTCGCTCGTACTGGCAACCGAGTCATATCATCCAAACCTTACTTACCTCCCATCACGTCCTTCCATCCCCGTTATCCCCGCGACAGCGTATGAAGCGCCCACACACAGCACCCTACAGCAGACGCCCACCCGTCTGCACCGCGCCAGAGGCGTTCGTTTTGGGTATCGCCGTCTTGTCTCCCGGCACCGGCCCGGACCTTATCGCCGCCGTGGCGGTGCTGAGACGCGATGTCAATCACCGCCATCGATCGGGCTGATTCATCGATTGCGTCTCTGCTCTGCCCACCATGGCCCAGCCCCACCCATCGACGCGAGAACAAGACGGGCACCGGGCGCTGTGTCATCTCCCGATCCCTCTCCGTGCAGGCCCCATCACGCCCGACGTGGTGCTTCCCACGCCCGATTCATTGTCTGTCCCAAATCGGGTGTGTACGGCAGGGCCAGGGCAGGCGGTTCGCACGCCCACGGCTAGTCATGCTTCTTCGCGATCGAGCGGGTTTTTTTGTTCTCTTATTATGAGGCGACTTATTGTCCTGCTTTTGGCTCCCGCGACGACGACTGCCCTCGAGGCCTGCATCGGATTGCCCTCGCCCTGCCTGGAAAGCGCCCTCTGGAGTAGAGGCCGATACTGATACCGCCTGCGACGAGCAGAAGTAACGAACGAACGAACAGAAGGATGCCCGCTGTACGCGTTAGACAGGCGCACCCCGCGGCCAGACGTGCGTCCCTCTCTCTTCTCCCCCTCGCAAGCTTGTTCCTAACGGTATACCAGCGCACCTCCTCGACCTTTCCTCCACAACCTCCTCACTCGATTCCGTATCCACACAGGACGTCAAGGCCAGTCTGGACAGACCAGCCCTGACGATCGTTGCCCCCACTCCACGGCAGTCGACATTTACCTTCGTCCCGCACCCGCTGTCCCACCCACTCCCTACGCCTTCGCCTACGCCCTCACCGGCCGCGCTGGGCATACCGCTGCCGTTGCCGACGACGCCGGTGCTGACTCCAGTCGAGGGCCTACGTCAGCTGTCTTTGTCATCACCTTCGCCGGCGGCGACATCACCGTCCCCGGTTTCTTCCGACAGTCATGTACCCACAACCCCCCCTGCACGGCCCATCCCTAGTCCGCTGCCGCTGAGCGCCTACACACGCACTCTAACTCCGGTATACGTTCCCGCCGCAACACCTTCCCCCGCTCCCTCCGCCTCACGAAGTAAACGACGCGGTGTGAGCGCGGATGGCAGACCAAGAAAAGGGGACGCAGACTACGTGAAGCGCCCCGAGAACGCGTTTATCCTCTTCCGGCGACAAGCCTGCGCCGAGCGGGCGTCTTCCCCCGACTCTGTCCCCCCGGCGTCCTCGGCCGACGGTGCCATTGTCCCCGCTCGCATCGCCCTGCCCGGCCTCCCCGCGAAAGCGAGGCAGGCAGATTTGAGCAAGGCCATATCGGCGCAGTGGCGCGCTCTCGGGGCGGAGGAGAGGCAGAAGTGGGAGGCGCTGGCGGCGGAGAAGAAGAAGGAGCATGAGGAGAAGCATCCGGGGTATGTGTACAGACCCAGGAGGAAAGCGCCGAAGGAGGACGGGCTGGTGGTTGGCGGCCCGAGTGACCCGGAGGTGGCTCAGCAGGAGTATCGGCTTGCGATACCGAATGTGTATGGGCCCAGCGGGAGCTTCCACACGCATACCTACACCCAGCCGACAAGGGGGCAGGAGTATTCACTGCTCCCGATGATTATGTCCTCCGCATCGCACCGCGAGAGCACCAACCTCGGCGGCTTCGACTACCTGCCTGCCGCCGCGGAGAATGCCGCAATGTCGAGTTTCGATGCGAATTTAATGGTCTGTCCATCTTTTCTTCCCTCGCGTTTGCTCATTGGCTTTTGCAGGCGTCGGATTTCCTCCGCTCAATGTTCGCCTCCTCCAGCCACCTAATCCCGCCGCCAACGTTCACGGACACGGCCGACCGCTCGCCCGCATCTTCTCCCGAGCCCGAGCTCGCCACGCCCGGCGCTACCTCTTCCCTTCCACCGCCCACCTCAGCGCCATTGTCCTGTGACTTCCCCACCGACCCGAGCACGTGGTACCCGCCGCCCTCGTCCGCATTGCTCATCCCATCATCATCATCGTCTTCCAACAACAGCTTTTATGCATCCAATCCCTGGGCAGCGGGGGCGCAGCAACAATACGCCGCGCTCTCGCTGTCCAGCGACGGCGTCGCGGTCGCGCAGCCCGACACGGGCTTCTCGCTCGATGCGTTTAGCTCGGTGTTTGACCAGCCCATGGCGGAGTTCGATTTTGACGCTGCGGGTGGGGTGCCGATGGGCCTGGGGATCGGGCTGGACGCGCCGTGGGATGGTGGGTGGGGTGATTCGGAGCCGCTCATCTCGATGGAGATGGGCGTGGACCCGATGGAGTTGCACGCGGTGCGTTTTTCCCCTTCATTCTTGTCTCATTTGCTGATAGGATGCCAGGATATATAGACCTAAAATTCAGACAGTCCTCCTCAGGGCGACTTCGATATATGCATCATATTTATCTCTCCTCCATTATCTCTCCCTTCACTGTACCACTAATCCCACCTCCGACCATCTTCCCCTCTCTCCATGTTGTTCGAACACTTCTCTCGCGCAAGCGCCGTCCACCGTTCTCATCTCTTGCGCGCCGCCGCGGCACGCCCCTCCTTACATTCATACATAGCTTCTTCGTCGTGGCTTTTTAACTAATTTACCTTCTTGATACGATACTGTATACAGCGGAATGTACGTAGTGATGGCCAAGTCCGGTTCGGTCCGGTTCTTGGCCCTTTTCGGCCGAACGCCGGACCGCCGGTTCGGTTCAAAACGGGATTTTGCCGAACGTGAACGCCGAACGTCGGTTCGAACCGGCCCCGAACCGGCGTTTTTGGACCGAAAACGGCTGAACCTGGCCGAACCGAGGGCCAGGTTCGGTTCGGAAACGGCCTTGGCCGAACCTGAACGCCGAACGCGCGTTCAGTCCGGTCCGGTTCGGGTTCGAACCGAAATCCCGAACCGGACCTGGCCATCACTAAATGTACGACTGCAGTAGTAGAATGTGTACTTAGTTGGCAGGTCTTTAATCGAGGCGGTTTTAATTACCTTTGCGATGCATCGGACAACAACATGGCTGCTTTGCATGGGTGGGTGCAACGCCCGCTGCGCCGCGCCCGGGGGGATCCAACATTTGCCTGGCGACCGCCGACGAAAATAAGTCTATGAGCAAAGTGGGCACTGGCTGTCTTGTGTATGGTGTACCAAAGACGACTGATTGGCGTGAATCGCTATGACGAACGCGACCGCGAGTCAGTGGAAGCACAGCCTGGTGTCCGCTAACGCCCCCTGAGCTGTGCGAAGAATGATGCATTCGAATGCTGGCCAAATACAATTATATTACGTTTGAGAGATAATATATTATAATCATATCATATTCAGAGCCTCAAGACAATAATATATTTGTAGTATAGTATAATCATATTCATATACAGAATATGATTATGTTATGAATATATTCAACCATAATTTAGTAACCTTATCTCTATATAATATAGCTGGTACCTAGGAGATACCATCCTACACTATGTTAGGCAGGGTGATCTGCAAGTGATGATATACAATGGATCAGATATGACATTAATTTAAAGTATGTGACTGTATGTCTAAATCAGACTAACTTTAGTCATGTTAGTAGGCGGCTATCATAATCCACCTTACTATATTTGAATATTCTGTGGTTATAACATAGTATAGTTATAACATAATATCATATATTCTAACATAATCATATTCAAGTGATTGACCAAAGGCATAATATATTCATAATATCTGAATATATTCAATATTTAATCAACTGTAATATAATTATGGCCAGCACTAATTGTGGCTTTGAAAGCTAAGCCATTCAGTCATTATGTTCTTAGGAAATTCAATCAAGTAGATATGTAAATTGGGTTAGACATATTTTTCCAAGTCATTATGCATGTAGATCAAGGTCTGAGAGCATGAACCAGAACTAGCATAACTATGTAGACAGTCTACTGCCTGATGCTCTATGACCCTGATCCATGAATCAGAACATGCCAAATATATATAGAAATGATCAGCTTATCTTCATCAACCAGAGACACTAGCCACTTATAGCTGTTGGACAGTGGACTATGATATATATTTAAGGTGGCTGGAGCACTGCATAATCACCGCAGCATTTGTCAAAATTTCAATAGAGGTAATAATAGGCCAAAAGTGACTGATTGTCAATGATTAGGAAAAGGAATCCATGGAGAAAAACAACTTGTCAGATTGTTCGAAACAAGGTTGCTCTAAGGGTGAAAAAAAGTAATTTCTAGAAGGTGTCCTTTTGGCTAATTATACAGTACTCACATTAAATTTTTTTAAAAAATCTTTTTTTGTAGGTGAATGTATATATATATAAAACATGTGAAAAGGTCACATGTTGATTAAATGAAAGTTGGATTGGTAATTAGCTTCACAACGCATTGCAACATTAGTCTCTGTGAGGGGAACCTCACTTTCCAATCCTTGGAGATGTCTTTGGTTTGTCTCTGACTCTAGCAAACATCACTGCCTGTATCAGATGTATCCCCCCACCCAGAACCCAGGGACTTGGTATGCAACATAGTGCAGACGTACACCACCAAAGTGTCCACAGCTGTCAATCAGCTGGACATTCCAGCTGGTTTCCACATAACTTAACATCTGGGTCCAGGTGGTTTCCAGCTGAATTCCAGCAGTTCTGCTCAGCTGGAAAATTCCAGCTGGAATCCAGATGACATGATTGTCTACATCCTAGCCCTTCTCTCACATAAACTTTTTTTTTTTTTTACTTCTTTGAAATCTGTAGAAGATTGACCAAATTTGCCATTTCAAGTAGTTCATAGATTTTTCAATCTATATGCCAACCAAATAGTCAATAGAGACAAGTAATAAATAAATCACAAACACAATAAACCATGATATTCTTTAGGGCCGGCATCCAGCACTGACTTACACTGACCGACTGAACACTTGTTGCGATCAACGATCGAGCGCCCAACGCCACACGTCAGCTGTGATTTGATCCGGTTCCTAATTCACAAGGAAAATTTTCCGTCACACTCATCCCTTCTTTCTTCCTTCCCTCCTCCTCCAGAGTGAGCGCCTCACACAGGCAAGTGTCTCGTGCCTCTGCACGCCTCCCTGACCCACGCGTCCATCAAGTGCGGCCCTGGCCACCCAAGCATGGCCCACCTCAAGATGTGCTTGCCCGCCCAACGGTTTGGCCCTCCCGATCTACATACAGTGGTCTACAATGCTGACTTTGAATAGACTGGGTATTTCCTAGTAGCATTGTATACAGTTTAGCTTATTAGTATATGTATAGCTATCATATAAGTGTCTTCTGATATGAATAATAATGAATAGTAATGAATAATTCAAACCCTCTAGAGACTTGGGTTTAACTCAGCACCTGGGTTACATGTGTGTCATGATGTGTGACAAATTTCCCCAAAAGCAAATTTTTACTATCTGACTGTACAATCATCAGAGAATGTCACAGATCGTCACAAAATCAAAGTTGTGTATTTTGGCTATACAAACAACTTTCATTAAGTGACCTATAGTCGCAACTGAATAATTGTATTACTAGAATTGGCCAATTATTAGCTGATCTACACCTGAGTAATATATCAGCAAGTGGATAACTTATATAGGTGATTAAAGCACTACCAAGGGTACCTAAATGATAAGATCAATATCCAGGACAATAAAATGTTATTTGCATAGCTATATTATGCTATGATGATTCATCACCTACATTGACACTGCAATATCTCCACCAATCCTGCATCAAGTGAGTTGATTTTTGTACTGGTAGGTAGGTAATAATGTAGTGTTGATATGCTCTGATGTGATCATGCTTATATATGTTGAGACTATTGGCAAATGAGGTGTATACATCTACCTACATACTCTGATTGATCTCTATTTATTCTTGGAGGATGAATTGGGGTGAATATTCCAAGATGAGTTGAGTGCAGAACTGGTTTACATGAATGGTAGGGTCTATAGACTGAGTACTGGACATTGAGATGCATGTATGAGGATATTTGGATGTCTAGTAGGACCCCATACTATAATCCATCATGGTTCTGGCATGTATTACAGAAGGTAGCTAAAGAGAGGGTAGGTACCTATAGAGCAAAAGAGAGTGTCTTCGCTATTACAACTGGTCAGAAATTAATTTCAAGTATGATGCAAGACTTGGATATAAGATGATATAGACCTTCAAATGAACCTGTCCAGCTCTTGAATCAGCCTCATAGCTATTCTGGATCTCTCACAGTACCATTATCAGTGTTATCTATCCCAATAATGATGAGTTCATCATAGCATGACCTTTGCAAGTCTGGGAAATCTGAGTCTATTCACTAGTAGGAGTATGGTCCACCCTCTAGAAACTGGAGCCTGTACCCTCTAGCATATCTCTATCCTGGGTTATATAGTACCTAAGGTCTCTATTAATTGACTGGCCCCAGCATTTGCCCCATGGTGGAAAATGAGTACGGGTCTGCTAGGCTATCCTATGATATCATATCAACTTAGATCATGAGATTCCATGCATGTAGTCTTAGGATATCACCAAAATACTGCTAAATTTAGTATTTAGGCATGCTTGGCAGTAAATAGATCAGGGCAATGGTGACAAAAAATATAACTGATGTGGCTCAAGGATAGTAGGCTAGTATACCTTTCAGATGAACTCTATTTCAACTGTATCCAGCAAGGCTAGCTGGAGATCTGTGCCCATCTTTCAGAGGTGATGGAGATCAAATTCTACTGATGAGTGAATGTATTGTACTATCAGTGCCATAGTCACTGGGAGTGAGGAGGGTATACACCAGGGGGTTTTGTTAGAGTAGCTAAACTTACAAGTCTGTCACCTTACATTGTTAAAGTACTAGATATTCTCTTTTTTATTACCGAATGATCAATATAGTAATCATATCATATGATGATGATCAAAATACTTCATAATCAATACTTGTCTTTGATACCCTTCCTGCTAGCACTTAATTCATGTATTTAGGTCGAGCAGCTATTGAGATAGGAGCCCATCAGTTAAATATGAGCTCATGATGGGTCAGTGCTAACACATTTATTAAGCCACCACTATAGGTTACTTAATGATATAGTTACAATACACAACTTTGATTTTGTGACAAAGTGTGATACTCTCTTATGATTCCACTGTTAGACTGTGAAAATTTCCTTTTTGGGAACTGTGTCATCCTTGTAACCTAACAGTATATATGGAGCTGATCTGGGCTGCACAGGTGTCTGAATTTCACTTACTATTAGGACCTGGTATACAATTTCCTTTTTGAGTGGTCCATGATTACACAGAACTGACTCCTATACTTGGGTATATAATCATTATTGAACATTATTCATACTATGAGTGAGGTGATAATAGCCAGTCATGCCAGTGTGGACTTGGTGCGAAGAATGGTAAAAACCTAAGAACTGCTCAGATTTATTCAATTCCCTTTCCAAGGTTTATTCAGTTCTATGGCAATGCTGAGAGCAGCATGGCTTATCTGCGACACCCCCGCTGGGGTGGACTAGATAGTACACAGTGGGTATTGGGCTACACAGGTGTTGAATGGAAACATAAACAAAAATAGTTACTTTTTGCATCCCTTTCAGCTGCAAAAAAAAGTCATCTTTCTCTGCTCATGAAAGGTCATCTAAAATATGGACCTTCTGCATGTATTTCTGTCTACTAAAAAAGATGACCTTTTTGAGCGAATGGAAAGCTCCCTGGAAATTCCCTCTTTCAAACTTGAACTTCCTTTTTGGGCCACACAAAGAACTCATTTCAATGACGCAGAAAGGTGCACAGAAAGATGTTCTTTCTTTCTGTCTTTTGTCTGTAAGAAACTCAAAAGGAAAGTACTGCTTTTGCTGTACCTTTCCAACTCAGCAAAAGATAAACTTTTCGTAAAAACAGAAAGAGCAAGGGAAATAATACTGACCCATTTCGATCAATTCAGCGGGCCTGTGACCCATGACCGTTTGGCCGAAATGTCCAATTCGGCCTGCGGCCGAATTTCGCATGACCTATTACCCGATTCTGCGGTGCTGAAAATTTGAAAATCTTCCCGATTAGGACAGTTTGGGACCAAAAGATTTGGCTGTGACCTGTGACCCCCCGAAATATTTCGGCCAAAAAGTCCGATGTGACTGTGACCCGCCTAATTGAATGAAATAGGTCAGTATATTTATTTCCTATGCTGCGGCAACCCAACCAGGGCCTAAATTTGAGTCTAATTGGTACTGGTGAGTCGTTTTTGACTATTTCACTGTTTTGTTTTCCGCTGACAGTACTTTGGATGATGAGAAGAGAGCAAAGAAAAGAGAGTCCAATACAACACAAGCGAGCGAGCGTGCGATATTAGGAAAATGTGTTCGTCGAGCAAGCAAAATTGAGATTGACACACGCTGCGCTATGCGCACACACATCTCAGTAACGAAGCGCAAAGCGCGCTCTCGTTCATTACAGGTCAGCGGTCGTTACCAGAGTCCAGTGACCATCAGTCACTGGCACTACACTCCCAAGCACCACTGTCGGTGGTAGGCCTTATTTCTGGTCACTGTTGGGCGCCCGCTGCGCCAACAAACCGTCTGCCCCACCGCAAGCTCTCTCGTGCCGCCTCAGAGCTCCTTTCTCACCCATGTCCTCGAGCTCGTGGCATGTTGTGTTGTGTTGTGTTGCGTTGCGCCTCATGTCCCTTGAACTAGTTCAAAGTCTTTCCTCTTCTTCTCCTTTGGTTGCAGTTAGAGCAGTTGGAAGGCCTCTTGCTTTTCTTGTCCTTTCTCACACTAGTGAGAACCTCCTATAAGGGTAACCCGGAGACTCCGATGAAAGCCTAGCAGGGGAGGGCCTAAGGCGTGAACAGGAAATACACAGAGACGGTAGACCAACCTAGCAGGTTCAATTTGACCCTCTGATTTGGTCCTTGCACAGCACTTAACGAATGTGTAAATTGCCAAACTTCCATTAAAATATGTGAAAATCCTATCATCCATATAAGGAAATGATCCGGTGATGATCACTGATGAACTTGATTGTAATCGAACTTCATGCGTGAGTAATGTGTAAGATAGGCTGAACATAAGGTCATAATGCTACAGTACTTATAATTATATTTGATTGATTGTACTCAGAATATGACCGGGCATAATGTAAGTGTGGACAGCATTACTACAAAGTCCCCTTTTTTCCCTCCTTCTGTGTCCTTTTTTAACTGATTTTTTTCCATTTCTAGTTCTCAAACACAAACATTATATAGAACCGCAGGAACTAGAAAATGCCACGAGCTGTCAATTGTGTGAACACGCTAACCGTTGTCGGCCAAGCAGTCGGTCCGGTAAGTACTTCGGTGCTTCTCGACTCCCATGATGAAGCCCAGGACCCTACAAACGGACTAGTCTTGCCCTCCTTCCTTCTCACCCCCATGTCCAACCCTCCCTCCACTAAGCCTGCCTCTCCCTTCGCGCCACTCCGCCGCGTAGTGACGGGCCACACCCTCAGCGGCCACGCGACGGTCGTCGAGGACAACATCCAGGCTGCGCGGTACTTTAGCGATGCAGCCACCAGCCCCTGCTACGACCTGTACTATTCCAGCACGACTCCGGCGGCAAATGACTCTGAATTGGAGAATGCTGGCGGGAACTCGAAATGGGTCGACGAGGTCAAAGAACACCCGGAGATCCCGCCTGCGGCCGGTGGGTCGAATTTCAGGTGCTGGGATATGCCCCCTGGGAGTGTTACGGTTCGTCATCGGTCCCGTTTGAATTGCACCCCAGACTCGCTAAGTTGCGACAGCCAATGCACCGCACGCTTTCGCTCGACTACGCTGTTGTCCTGAAGGGCAGCGTTGTTCTTGATCTCGACAACGGCGAGCGCACAGTTTTAGCTGAGGGTGATACAATAGTGCAACGTGGGACGATCCATGCCTGGCGGAACGAGTCGGACGAGTGGTGCCGGATGCTGTTTGTGATGATTGGTGCGTCGCACATGGCTCTCATGAACACACGTCTGAGAGAACGTATTAAATGCAGGTGCGAAACCAATAGAGGTCTCGGGAAATGTATTAGGAGAGGAGTACCGCTGAAGAATGTGCAATTTAACAGCAATACAGAATCACCGATCGACATACATTGCTGCCTCGTCCCCCGTGATGTTCTGATTCTGAAGTCCATCCAGAAGCCGCCCGCCTAAGGATCGTTGCTGCAATTCGATATACTTTGCCACTAAGCTTCCGAAGAAGGTATTCCCCACTCGGCCGCCCACTTTTCTCGCAGCAATTGTAACGAGTCATACCACAATACATCTATTCGCGATATCAGACGGGTAGGAACTACAGCAACGTCGTCAAGCTTACCACTATTGCTAATGAACTCCTCTCGTATTATACCAGCGCCGGAGAATACTTGCCACCGATAGCCGAAGAGGTTGTACGCGTCTGCGTAAACGTCCCGTAGCGCTGAGCAGGGTGTCCTAAGGGCTTCGCAGACGCGCCGCATGGCGGACTCAGTAGCGCCGTGCTGCACCAATGGGCGCAGAGAAGTAGACTCAGATTCAGATTCAGAGCCCGCGCCGGAGCCCGAGTCACAGTCGTCCGGAGTGGTCCAGTCGCCGTCGTAGGGAAGCCACCAGCGAACGGCGAGCCGCGCGAGTGCGCGCGGCAGCGCAGCGGAGCTAGTGCCGAGACTTTCGAAAAATTTGAATGGCTAAGAATATAAGGTCGGCACTCTGAAGTTAGATGAAAGGTTCAACTCACCAGAGGATTTGCGTATATCGGCCCATCATCTAAGATGGTGCAGTTGAAGCACATGTCGGCCACCGTGAGTGCCGGGAAAGGGTCCAGGATCGTGCTGAGACGGGTGTACGAAATTTCACGCATATAGAGCACATACGACAGGTTAAGAGTGAGCGAGGTAACAATGGTCGCCTGGAAATTGCGCTGCGGTGTCATGCCAACGAGAAATCGCTCGACGGTGGAGTTGTTGACCTCGACGTGCGTGAGTTGGGGACAGGCAGCGTCAGAGAGAAAAGCCGGTAGAAGCTCGCACGGGCCGCTGATCGCAAGGCGGGACAATGTGGGCAGCGCAAGATCAAAGCTCTGCGACTCGCTGTCCTGAACGAATCGGACGGTTTGGAGATGCAGCCGTAGCAGTGCTGGGAAACGACACAACAGCCGAAGGAGTTCAGACATCCGAAGGAAGGAATGCCATTGCAAGAAGAGAGTTGTGACCAAGGGATAGGTCGCATCCAGCCCGGGCATAGGGCAAATGAGTGAGAGACTGCGAAGGAGGGCTGGATTAAGGAGACGCATCCACGCGCCAACGCAGCTGCGGTTCGAGAGGTGAATGTCGCTCAGGTAGAAGGCGCCCACGGTCAGCGTTTGTTTGAGATTCTCCGGGAGTGTGTCAGGAAGAGTGACGTCTTCGACCTTGAGGGTCTGTAAGGCGGGCAGCGCGGCCAGATGTGTCCATTCCAAGTAGAGGCCCTCCATATGGAGGGACTGCAGCCCCATAAGGCCTTGTAAACGAGGAAGGAAAGCTTCGAGGACGGTATAAGGTGTCTCCGTCGGTGCACACTCCCACCCGGGTTCATCAATGAGAGACAGAAGCCATGGGCTCACGACACATCTGCGGATATGCGGCGCCACCACACGGGAAGTCCAAAACTCGAGGCGGGCGAGCGCTCCGTCGATGATTTCGGCGGGGGGCAAAAGTGTAGGCTGGAGGGAGGAGTAGTCGTTGTCATCGAGGACATACGGATGCAACTGGAATGTGGCGAAGCGCAGTTCTCGAGAGAGGTCGGCAAAAGTGCGACTGACGAGGGAGCTTTGGCGGAGAGAATCAGCGGGAAGATGTATGAGTACTTCGAGCCAGAGTTCGGGTGGAAGCTCGGGAGAAGACATCGCTGGGCAGGATGGCGGCGCCAGCGAAGCCGAGGAAGCTGTGACGCCTACGTGTCAGTGTGACCTATGTGACAGCATGACATAACTACCCGTGACAGCGTCACGTCACGGTGTTTTTCTTCTTCTTGACGTCGATGACCACAAAATCCGTGCCCGCGTCCATGCCAATAGCTGAGCCCCGCGTGCGCCGAGCGCCCCAGCCATTCCCCGAGATCCCCGCCGGCGTGACGATTGTCCCGTTCAGAGACTTTAAAGAGTGCGGTATCCAGCTGCCTTCTGGCAACGATGATGACGGGGTTGAGCGTGACGCCCATGGGATAGCGACGATTCCGCTGCGCGCGAAGCACGATACAGATGTGTCCAAGACAGTGCCGGGTAAGAAACGCACGCCGCGGGAGTGGGCGGCGTCAAGACCGAACTTTCGCAAGGAGTGGTGGGTTGACTGGGCCGAGGGCGAGGACGTGAGAAACCATGGGCCCTATTCCGCGTATGTGTATCCCTTCTCTACCAGGACAGCTCACTCTTCTCTCCAGGGAGCAGTCGGCAGCGGACCGGTTCCAGCAAGCAGCCCATGACTTCCAAAGGTGCGTAATTGTTGCAAGGTCAGATCCTCTGACCGCTATCCTCAGATACCGCAAGTTTCCGCCCTATGCGACCAAGGTGCAGTACATGTGGGAGCAGGTAAGTACAATCACTTTTTGCATGTGGCCTATTCATCTCGTCTATTCCAGTTCAAGTTGTTCGCGGGACTTCTCGGCACGACCCCCGTGTGGTATAATCCTGCCAACAACCCCAAAGCCGGGGGGGACTCTGAGGAGGATTTCGATTCGGACATGGATGACGACCACACAACTGCCAATCGTCGGCACCAGGGTGGCGACGGGCGGTTTCCGCCGCGGCCACGACCACGCGCACCATATGAGCGTTTTGGCAAGCGTCCAACGGTTGTTCACGGCGATGCGGAGGTGCATGCGCTGCTGGACGAAGCTCGGGCCGAGCGGGAAGAACGGAAGAAGGCATTTTTGGAAGAGCCGGGCCGCCATATCCAAGTCTTTCTGTCGTCGTACATGCTAAACGAGGGGCTTGCGTGGTGCGTATTTCCGTGCTTATTGTTGCTGATTGACCATGTACTAGGGAGGACAGACACCTTGTCAATGCTCCCCACCTCCTCCAATTCTTCGTCAACTATCTCATCCGAAACAAGGTCTTCGTGGCAGAGGAGCGGATTCAGGAGAGCTTACGCGCTGCGCTGCCTGTCATTCAACAGGCTGTAGATCAGCTTCCGCGTACTGCCCAGCTGGCCAAGATCTTCCCTGACGCGTTTTCGGTGGCCTGTCGTGAGCTGTGGGGCGACCAGGGCACGGCAGAGATTGTCATTCCCGACGTCGAAGACATAGTCGAGGCGCAAAAAGAAGACCAAGGGAACGTCGACCCGTCCGCATTTGCGCCTTTAAACGAGCCGAACTCGGTGGACGTATGGACGACGACGACGACGACGCTGTTCTTCTCCCGTCTCGGCCCTACAACATTTCCACTCACCCACCAGCCCGGTGTCGTGGAGCGCTCCGTCCGCCGCATCATCTCCATCTTTCCGCCTAAATGCACCGGCACTAGCTCAGCGACTCTGCCTGCTGCGCTGACCGTGGAGGGATCGTTGCGTGGAGAATCTGGCCTGGCGCTGTGGCGCGTCGTGCTTGAGCCGTGGGCTAACTGGGCAGGCGTTGGCGAAGAGAACAATCACGCTGCTCGTCTGTTGGCGGAAACAGCGCCCGCAGACCATGACCTGGCCCAGACGCTCATCAATCTTGTCGTCGAGGGGGCGGTGGCGCGGAAGCTCGTCGTGGGCATGGGTATGGGCGGGACGTGGGTCCAGCTTGCACGCGTTGACGATCATGCTGACGATGCGGGAAACGGAAAGAGGGAGACGATGTGGTACTGTGAAGCCCTGGACATGGTCGTGCCGAGTTATTGGCTTACTGCTGTTTGAGAGGTGTGTTTTTTTGCGCGTGTTCAAGTTGTCGTGTCTTGTCTTGCTCTGTGCTCGCTATGTGCTGCTCTTTTGTCTTGTTGTACCCTGTTGTGTACCACTTGCTGATACTTGCTGACCTGCATGATTGAGATAATAATCCAATCTATTGAAGCGGCTGTTTGGTTGATGAATTACTTTACTCTTCAAACTTACAACGGGAATTCTTATAATATGGTATTGTATATTCTTTATATATGCTCCCACACTGGCACCCACTCCGAAAAAACGAGGGAGTGTCGAGGGAGTGTAACCACTTGCCTACACTGGCAGACCATGATTTGGTTTACCGTGAAAATGATTGGCCCTCGGTGTCATTCAGATCAATTCTGTTCCATGCAAGTTGTTCAGTGAAATTTGCGGGGGGTTCACGGGCTTATGCTCCCACCAATGGCACCATGATAGGGCTTCTGCGTCAGCACCATGTGGATGCTCAACTCTTTGAATGACACTCAATACACTCATCCACGCCATTTCCTTACACATCATAGATAGCGGGATCCATTCCTGTCATGACAGCGCCGCCCTCATGGCAACGTTGCCTACATTATGATGCCAAGGTCAACCCAGTGTTAGGAGTCACTAAGGCTGTGCCATACACTTCTCCTCTCACTCCCACCCCGACAATGGATGAGCCCCCGTCCTCCAGATGTCTTCCTCAGCAATCGATGTCGGTCCAAGAGCTCTGCAATTGGATCCATACGGCCGATATTTCCTTCCAAAAAACCATTATCACCAATATCTGCTGGTGGGCAGAATCAGATACTGTCCTTAAGCACCAGCTACTGATTTTGCAGTTCTATCATTTGGAAATTGCTTATGATATTGTGCTTGAGCGAGCTGGGAAGGCTATCTTCAGTCTAGATCAGACTGCAATTGACAAGGCAACAATCATTCCAGCTAGACAAAATCAAGCTACAAGTCCAGATCTCTGTGATTCTCATAAATTACTCTTTGCATTGGTCACAGATCAAGGAGTACTTCCTCCAGGTATGTTTCTGACACCTCATTCAATATGGCTACTACATAGGTTCCAGGTGCTATCTGCTATAATACATTTCAAGATTTTCTAGACTACAAATGGTCTGGCCCATATCCATGCCAGCAAGAGTTAGCACACTACATTGAGGTTATTGCCAAGCAAGAACCAAGATATAACATATCCAGTAGCAATCACCTGTTTAGCCCACAGAATACTGTGAGTCATCAGTGGTAACCTGCCGGGGTGCCATTGACAAGGCTCAGTATTTTCAGGACATCCCCTGAGGTGAATAATTGCTGGGGAGAGGGGTGAATAAAGTTGAGCTCTAAGGCAAAATTCGTACTAAGTCCAGTATGTAAGGGGTGAATAAAGGTGAATAATACAATATAGGTCATCCAGACCAAGTCTCCTGGAGTCACACTACGTGACAGGTGACACGGCATCCCAAAAAGAAACTTTAGTCAATAGAGATTGGAGTTGGTAGTTTTAGTGACTATGTCATATGGTTATATACTATAACATAGAGTGATACATATAAGAAATTTCCAAAAAAAGGAAATTTCCACAATCATTGCAGAATGTTACAAATTGTCACAAAATGACAGTTCTCTATTTTGACTATACAAACAACTTTCATTATGTGATGTATAGTGGCAGCTGAATAGTAGTATCAGAACTGTCCAATCACTAGATGATGTTCAACTGATGGGCTTCTATTTCTATAACTACTTGATATAAATACATGATTTCAGTACTACCAGGAAGGCCTTTCAGAGTATCATTACTTGAACATGGCATTCAATCACCATCATATGATATAATCACTCTACTGGCCATTTATTCACATGAAAGAGGATATGTGGGTGCTTAAAGTGATAAGACTGCTGACTTGAACCTTCAGATACCCTAAGCCAATGTTTGACTATGTCTACTTCCAATCCAAACTGAATTGGGCACTGAAAATGCAAGGCATTCTCTCATCAGTGGCATTTGATTTCCATCAATTTGGAAGATAGTCTTAGATCTCCAGCTGGCCTCAGTGGATAAAGCTGGAGGAGAGCTCATTTGAAAGGTATATTATCCTACTCCTATTTAGCCTAATGTTCCATATCATCTGTGACCTATTACCTTGATCTATTTAGTGCCAAGCATGTGTAAACACTAAGTTAAGGAGTATTTTGCTGATATCTTGGGACCCTATGCATGGAATCTCATGATCTAAAGTGATATGATATCACAGGATAGTCCATTATAATCCCACCCATTAGTGATGCTGTAGTATGTGTTAGGGTGAGTCAATTGTTGGAGACCTTAGGTGCCACATAACCCAGGATGGAGATATGCCAGAGAGGCAAGGGTACCACTTTATGGGAGGTGGATCATAGCCCTACCATTGAATATACTGAAATTCCTTAGACTTCCACAGGCCATACTATGGTGAACCCATCATTTTGGGAATAGATAACACTGATAATGCTACTGTGAGAAATCCATCATAGCTATGAGGTTGATTCAAGTACTGGACAGGCTCATTTTAAGGTGTATACCATCCTACAATCAAGTCTTGGGTCATACTTGAAATTATTTTCTGACCAGTTGTAATAGTGAAGACACTCTCTTCTGCTCTATAGGTACCTACCCTCTCTTTAGCTACCTTCTGCAACACATGCCATAACCCCAACCAATTTCAGTACAGAGTAAAGCTTCGCACGAAGTGCCGCGGGTGAATACCTGTATTCAACCCGCGGGTATTTCCATTTTCAAAATCAGCACCTGTATTCAACCCATCCGCCATCCGCAAGGATATCATCCGCGGATGCCCACCTGCGGATTGTCCACAGGTTGCGGATGGTACGGGTTGTCCGGAGTTAATGCAGTCAATTGCACATAGTTCTAAGTTACATGGTACACTAATCGTCCTCTCCCGAACTGTCAGACCCATCATCGGAGGTTGCCTGCTTCTTTCGCGACTGTCGGGACCCCAGTGCCTTGATGGCGTCGTCCTCAGGTGTCAGCCCATCGCGATGCCAGGCAGAAACCAGAGCATTAGCTCGAATGGTCTGGGGCGAGAGTGCATGGCGCCGCTTAGTCACCATCCCACCGCCGTGCGAAAAGGCTCGCTCGACGTCGACAGAGGTGGCAGGAGCACCAATGAAGTCATGGGCCATCCGAATCAACGCCAGGTTGTTTGGTGTGGGTTTGGACGAGTAGGGCGACATGGTGGCGAACCAGAGTAGCGGGTTCAGACAGCTGTCCTTTGGGATTGGCGGCGAGGCAATGAGGTGCTCGAATGGGTCTGCGTTGATGGGAGTAATGTCGAGTTTGTCGAAGATGGTCTTCTCCACGAAGATCTGGACAACTGTAAGGTTGTTGTACAGCCCCAAATAGAAAGACATACCTCGTTACTCGTTGTCGATGTTGGAGCCTCCACCCGGTAGTGCTCGATCCATTGCGTTCGAGCGAGCTCCACAACGAGATCCTTCCACTCTTGTTCCCAGCCCATTTGGTCGAAGTAAGCCATGCCATAGCTCGGATGCAACAGCATTGCGATGCGATATATCACAGACTCGTCGGTTTTGGCGTAATATTTGTCGAGAATGCCCAGGCCCGCCACCGCCGCCATTCGAACAGCGTTGAACGTCGAGCGCCGTGTGGTGGGTAATCGCGCTGGTTTGGGGGCTTTGGGATGGAGGAAAACCGGGCTGTCTTTGAGTCGTGCAGTGTCCTCAAGGTGTTCGTTGATGAGGTCGATGACGGGGATGACCTCGAAGATACGGGGGAATTTACTCTTGGAGAATCGAATCGTAGCATCCTTGAAGGGCTGTGAATGATGATTAGTGCCAAGACATGCTTTATTAGTCGTTATTCGCTGACCTTGAGCAAGGTCCGAAGCTGAGACATCAGCTGCCACTCGTCGTTGGACAAGAGCAAGCTTTTGATGCTTGAGCGTCCGGTGGAGGTCGTGCAGAGGCGATCCAGAGCGGGCTGGAGTTCCAGACCACGCGTTATAACGTCGTATATAGTGTTCCAGCGCGTAAGAATAGCGCGGATCATACGCTTTTTCTCCGCGTTGTCCAACTTGAGGGAAACAGCGATCTCCGTTAGCTGCTGACGAAGACGCTCCGAGTTGAAGATCCGATGGCCCAGGCGATTGAGCTTGCGGTAGGCGTCTTTCGCTAGCTTTTGCTCTTCTTCACCCAGCAAGAGATCGAGTTCACGCGCGCTGACAAGCTCTTTGAGGTCGAGCTCCTCGATAGCGGCAGCATCGCTGGCCTCGACGGCCTCGTCAACATCTTCAAGTGCCTGTATTGCCTCGACGTCATCTTCAGCGTCGAATTCATCCTCCTCTTCGGCGGTCATTCGTTTGGCGCCCTTGGGTGGGACAAAGAGGGAGAGGATGGCCTTGACGACCAGGTTGAGAACATGGGCAAAGCAGCGTATTCGCGTGGTCAGGTCAAGTCTTGCGCCCTTGGGCATAAGCTCGACTAGCGACTCCATCATGGTGTCGTTATTGCTCGCGTTGTCGCCCACAATGCCGAGAATTTTTTTCTCAATGCCATACTCTTTGAATGTGTCCGAAAGCGCCCGCGCGAGATTACTGCCGGTGTGAGAGAGGCTGAGGGGAATCATGTCGAGGAGGAATGTTCGGATGTCGTTGTCGACGACGAATTGGATCACGAGTCCAACCATGGACAAGACGTTGGGTGACGTCCAGCCATCGAGCATGGCATGAAGCGCGCCATCATGCTTCGCGAAGAGCCCTTTGACGACAGGTTTTGTCAAGTCAAACACAATCTTGATGTCGCGGGCAACGGTATCGTTGCAGGGAACGTGGACGTTCGGCTGGAGGGTTCGGAAGGCAGCAACGAGTTCGGCGTCCTTGACCGCGAGATGAGGGCGGTTGTGGACGGCAATCCAAAGTGCAAGGTTGAGGCGGAAACGGCCGTGGTTGTAGTCGCCAGTGTTGGTGTACTTTTTGATAGTGGAAACGCCAGGCTGGCAAGTTTTGATGTGGTTTCCGAGGTTGCTGGTGGAAGCATCGTAGCGCGCGCGCTGCACAGTCTTCGATGGAAAGCTGAAGAGTGTGAGTTAGAGTCGTCTATAGGAGATGGCACGCACCGTTTGCAGGAGAATACATAGCGCACAATGCCATCTTCACCGACTTTGAGCAGGGGCGGCATCTTGTAGTGCGAATACGTCTCTGTTCCCTTCTTCTCCCATTCGCGGACTTGCAGTGCTAAAACTGCATCGTTATCCTCGACATCCACAGACTTGTCGACTTTCTTGAGTCGGAGAAGCAACTCGCTGTCGCGTTCTTGAGGGGTATTGGCCTTGGGGCGCTTAGCGGTTGGCTCGGTATCGGCAGAGTCGGTGTCTCGGCGGCGTTTGCCCATGGTCGTAGCACGTAAGTTGTAGTGGGGAGTTATTGGGGGGGGCTGGTTTATATTTGGCTCCCACACAGGCGCTTGGAATCGCGCGCGACGACGCATTGTCGTTGGAGTAAGCGGTGAGCTGGCATTGTGACAGGCAGTGCCACTGATCGGTGATATTCTCACATGACCTGTCAGTTGTCTGTCACGGGTACCCGTCAGCATGAAATTCAGCACCTGTATTGGAGGCATCCGTGGGAGTAAGAGTGCCACATCCGCGGATGCCATACCTGCGGATGCCTGCACACGGGTACCTGCAACATCATCCGCGGATGGCGGCACTCGTGCGAAGCTTTAATACTGTACAGAGTCCTAGTAGATATCCCAATACCCCAATACATGCATCTCAATGTCCAATACTCAGTCTATAGACCCCACTATTCATGTAAACTAGTTTTGCATCTAGCCTGCAGTTGATTGTCTGCCTCATTTCACCATTCAGGTATGTACAATCATCAATCAGAGTAGGTAGGTATGTGTATATACCTCATTGACTGAACTTGACTTATTTTGATCCACAATCAACTAGCAGATCATGGCTGTATTGTTAATATCTTGTGACAGAGCAGTAATATGTAGAATGGAGAATAACAAGAGATTTCAAGAATAAAACATCATGGGAGGCATAACATCTCTCAGGGCAACCCCTCCTCTACTTCCTACCTTTATCCCATTGGAGATCCCTTACCTCTGAGTAAGTTATTGGGAGATTGAACTAATAGGATATGAGCCATATAGACAGGTATATAGGGTGCCTAAAAATATGAGTGGCTTGTAGGGCTATCAGGGATGTCCATCTAACCATAGCAAAACTGACCCCATGGTCATCCATGCATTTCTTACCTAGATATCAGGTCATCATTATACCTGGTCAAATTTAAGGTAGAAAAACTACAGAACAGTGATATAACAGTATATTCTGAAGGCATGGGACTATGGTCATATCAGACTATATTAAGACAATATTACCACCTACCTACTAGTGAAATAATAATGTGAATCCATAGAGAACTGCCAGAGATATAGCCAGATCAAAATGTCTGATAGATAATCATGAGGCAGTATGAGTATGCTGATGACATGGTATTGATGGGGATATTGACCCTCCTAAGTCTGTCGACCCGGCCTGTCCGCTCCGGCGCTGGTGTCGGGCCATCACAGGCCCGTCATACGCAGCATGTGACGGCAGGGAACAGGCGCCCCAGTACTAGTAGGAAGAATGCATACATGGGAAGCATGTGACCGAGAATGACGTATTGAGCCCAACTCAAAACCAGGAGACCGGGGAGGAGTGCTAGGAGGTTAGGAGTAGTGCCTGGCCTGCAAGGGATGTACAATCATTAAAGCTCCGCACCAGTGTCAGTACCCACGGATGTCTGCACAGGTATCTGCAGGAAAACATCCGCTGCGGCCTCTTTCGGACCGTCCGAGCGCATCCGAGGCACCTCCGACCAGTGCCCCCTCGGACGCTCCGACCTACCCCGACCCTCGCCCTCGGCCTCCTTCGCCCGCACAATCACCGATCCGTCAAGACCCTCTCAACGATCACCTTGGGACAGAGCCTGCGACACCGCTCAGGCCTTTTGCGCTCTACGTCGGCAGTTACGGATGACCAGTATATGGTTGGCGCCCTAGCAAGCGGACCCTTAGAGTTTCTTCTCTTTGGATCCTCCCCTGCTAGGTCGGTCCCTCCGTGTATTTCCGTAGCTTTTATTCATGCTTTGGATCCTCCCCTGCTAGGCTTTCGTCGGAGTCTCCAGGGTTGCCCTTACAGGGTTTGACATCTGCGGATACAGGTATCCGTTTCCCACAAATGCCAAGAGTACAGGTATGACTCTGGAAGATCACAATTCTCATTGTCTTCTATATATTCTAGTCACTACAGTCTTCTCATGCCCTGTGGTGTCCATATCAGTATATCAGTTGATACTATATCCTCTATAAGCTCTTAATATTGTCAACATACCTCAGTATCCTAATATTTTATTCAAAATACCTGTGGATACCCTGTGCAGGTACCCATATCTGTCAGTACAGGTACCCGTTTCCCATGGATGCTGCAAATGCAGGTATTGGTTTTGAAGCCTAAATTCCCTGCAGTAGGAGTATAGGTATTTATCTGTGACACTCGTGAGAAGCCTTAACGATTGTCCCCTCTGCGGCCAGGAACAGGGGCAAGGAGGAGCAGGAGAGGCAAGGGTGTCTGATCACACCTTTATAGGCCTGTATATATAAGGTGTGATAGTGTACCCTGTACTCTATTGCTTAGATTGTCTATAGTACCACTTCTCCCTGTGCAAGGAGGTATCGCCGACTCACTGGGCTTGAAACAACCCGATTCGAACCTTCGACAACCTGTCAGGGGATGTGGGTCCAGGTGCCTAGTTGATACCAAAGCCGGGGGAATAGCCCCACAGCCAACTACTTAAGTACAGGGCTATCTGCGCATGGACCAGTCACGTGATCAGTCACAGCTGTCACATCACATGCTCCCCCTTACACAACCCACAAACAACAAGGGACTGCATTAACGGGCCCTTTCAGTTCAACTCTACCCCACTCACTCTGCTTATGGGCCCAACGATCAATCTGTTCTATTCTAGGCATACATTCTTAGGAGAAGCCTTGCACAGCCCAACCGGACTAGCCATATTTAGTTAAAATATAAAAAGCAGTAAATATTTTTTTCTGGGGCTTGGGACCCTCTCCCTATATCCGTGACAGGCATCTTTACAGCCCCTTGGGTTGGAATAAAATAATTATGGTGCACTCACTAAAATTACTAATAATAGGCCATGAAAAATTGCTTGTTCTCATCTAGAATATATTATGAATTCATGATATTAAAAGACAAAAGAACAAATCAAAATTTAATTAGAGAGTGAAAAAAAATATATTACTTTAGTCCAAAGAGAGCAACCATAGTTTTTCTCTGAAAGAAGTTCCTTCCATATGAGAGAAATATTATTGAAAAGCAACTATTTATTTTAATTGCAATATATGATATTTCTGGTCTGTAGAAAGAAGTATCAAAATGTGTACATCAAATTCATCTTTGAATAGGAAAAGAAACTTATGAATTTTCCCTGTGGCAACCACTTGCTGTTGTGAGGGTATGAACAGGGGTGTGCCTGACTATGTTCAACAGGCCCAAAATTTGGCTAAGCACTATGGTATGCTGGAAGATCATGTAAACTATATATATATAGGTTTTTTTGGGGTTACTGAATTCAATACTGAAAGCCAAGTGCTCTATACAAGTGCTCTATACACTGCTTATGCCTGAAATTGAGTTTGTTTTTCAATGGCTATGTATCTTGAAAAGGACAACTACATATTACTGCGCTACTTCAATCAATTGTCTGCATTACATCTTGGCCAAAAAAACTCCTTGTCAAAAATCACCTTAAATCAAATGAAACTCTTTGGTCTAGTGCTGGCCAAATATGATTATATTATTTTATGGGCATAATATATTATAATCATATCATATTCAGAGCTCCAACCCAATAATATATTTGTAGTATAATATAATCATATTCAGCTGCAAAAATATGAATATGTTATGAATATATTCAACTATAATCTAGTATGCATATCTCTTGATATGTTTGACATATTTGCTAATCAAAAACATAAAATACATACTGGATTGTCAGGGCAACTTCCTTTTGGGCCTCTCTAATTCCAGCCTGGGTTACATAGGACTCTCAAAATACAATCAGGGGCATTGCCACTAGTATTAGGTTAGCCAGTAGACACTTGATCAGAGGTCCTACACTATCTTTAATAGGATCAACCCAAAGTGATCACTCCTGACACCTGTTCCTACTAAGAGTAATGTATGAATCACCATATATAACAGATAATATGTGACATTTATCAGAAGTAGGGCTAACTTAGACTAAGATTAGTACTATGACTGAGTACATGGACTGAGAAAATAGCTGTAATCATCCACCTTACTATAGTTGAATATTCTGTGACTATAATATAGTATAGTCATAATATAATATAATATATTCAAACATAATCATATTCAAGTGATCCACAAAGGGCATAATATATTGATAATATTCTGAATATATTCAATATTTAATCAAGCATAATATAATTCTGGCCAGCACTACTTTGGTCCCAAATTTGGAAACATAGTACATATCGGTAGAGTAACCACCAAATATTAGCAACAACAACTCACCGCTCTTCTTCTCTATCGTTTACATATGTAATTGGCCATCCGCTGCATGCAAAAAAGTCCTCTGCGGTATTCGACCTCATCCCGGGTTTCCGCTCCTCGCACTTGATTATATCAGTGTGCTTCTCCCGTATGAACACATAGGATGCACTCTGCTGCGACCGCATCGCACGTCGGCTCGTCGGTTGTCGTCTGAAAAACGTGACGAGGCAGCTTAGCTCGAGCGCGCAGAGGTTGGAGGAGGATGCGTGCATGACGGCCGTGGTCCCAAATTTGGAAACATAGTACATATCGGTAGAGTAACCACCAAATATTAGCAACAACAACTCACCGCTCTTCTTCTCTATCGTTTACATATGTAATTGGCCATCCGCTGCATGCAAAAAAGTCCTCTGCGGTATTCGACCTCATCCCGGGTTTCCGCTCCTCGCACTTGATTATATCAGTGTGCTTCTCCCGTATGAACACGTAGGATGCACTCTGCTGCGACCGCATCGCACGTCGGCTCGTCGGTTGTCGTCTGAAAAACGTGACGAGGCAGCTTAGCTCGAGCGCGCAGAGGTTGGAGGAGGATGCGTGCATGACGGCCGACCCGAAGTCTTGCAAAGCGTCCTGCGGGTGTGCATCTCCGCCTATGATAATGTCCTTCGACATTCCCTGCGCTGGGATGAAAACATCGGACAGTGTCAGATTTGCGCCCATTCCGACACAAAAGGCCAAAGAGAGCGACCTGAGATGTGTAAGTGCAGCAAGGCGGAGAACAATCTGGCCCTCTATTCGACGTAGATTCCTGATGCCCCTCACTTCCTCGAGGAAGAGCTTCTCCAGCTGTGGGGCGCTCTCCTCTAGCGAGAGCAGGAAATCATGTATAATGTTGTCGTGCCTCTCTCGTCCATCGGCGGTGTCAGACTCTCCGACCTCAATAAATAGTGCGCGTAATGTAGCGCCATAGCCAAGCAGTTGGGCAATGCGAGGGTCTGTGAGCAACGAGGTCCGCACGAAAGCGTGTCGAAGCTGCCAAGATGTGTTTTCTTGAGGAAGTATGAGGTGGATGGGGGCCAACAACGTGACCAGTTGCATGCGTGCCACCAATGGTAGATGTGGGATGATGGAGTCGACGGACGCTGACACGTCTCGCGGATGGTATTGATTGGCTTCGATTACCAGCGCAGTGAGCCTTGTTTGTCGTTCCCAAAAGTGGCTGTCGAATTCTCGTGGAGAGTAAATGTGTAAGCTGTGAAGTGTACAATCTGCAGCGCGGGCCAGCGGCGCCTCAATCGCCAGGCTATAATCTGTCAAGGGCCTCAGGATACTTGGACTTGTGCGGCGAGATCGAATTACTGCGGTTGAGGACTCGTAATTGTTTGAGGTTGAGACAATTTTTCAAAGCGGGAATCAAGGCTCCCTTGAGATGCTCCGCCAAGCGTTCCCCGGGCCGCCACCGATCCTGAGGCTCCGACTTTTGCTCCGCTTCATCAAGGCGAAAACACACAGTGTCAACGTCAAGAACGAAGCTCTGTAGACTCGCTGCTAGCAGGAGATCATCGGTCGCCTGCCGGCTCCATCCCAAAACGGCAGCCAGGCTGGTCAGCTCAACCGCCTGGTATAGGCACTCCTTCGCGATGGCATGGAACGTCCTGGAAACACAGCAGAGCTGCGCGAGTACGGGCGGTGAGCAATAAGCGAAGATTTCGTCGGTGAGCTCGGGGGGGAGAGTGGGAAGAAAAGTAAGCATTTGCTCAGTGTAGATGGTGGTTTAGTGGAAGGAGTGTCACGGTGAATCACATCAGATTTCCCGCTGATTGGCAGTGCACGTGCGGTGACACAGCAGCACTGCCTCTTGGAATCTCTCACACAAACCACCACCACCTTGAAGCCCAAGAGAAGTCCATGGCCCGCACCAAGCAAACGGTGCCTCAGCTCCATCGCTATCTTATCTTTGCTAATCAGACCCGCATCAGCCTCGACGTCTTACCGGAGGGAAGAGTTGCTGTTGGGTCAGGTCCCTGTCGCGGGCCGAGAGAAGGCGACAGTTGATATCTCGAGACGCGGTGTTGGGTGAGCCTGAGTCATTATACTCATCCCGCGCCACGAGTTACTTAAATTGCAAACACGCTGGTAGGGATCTCGCGTCCGTCACTAAGCCGCCTGGCGCGCCGCGCAGGCATCAAGCGGTCATCCAGCATCATGTGCGACAACGCGCGCGCGATGCTGCGGGCCTTTCTCGTTACAGTGATTCGGAATGCTGCACTCTCCGCGGGACATTCATATCGGTGAGTACGAATCAGTTCGATTCCAAGGCTTTTGGCGCTGAAGCGCCACGCTGGCAGGACCACCGTCACCCATTTAGATGTCCAATACGCGCTGAAGAGGAATGGCACCATGCTGTACGCATAACTCCGTTTCTCCGTCTTGTGAATTGTATTTGTCGATGTTCGCTCGTCATGTTTTTGACGTTCTCCAATCACGGTCTGTTTCATTCCCAAGTTCTTCGTGCGAGCGTTCGAGTCCCGATCAGTCGGACGGCCTTGCTCGTCGTTGGAAGGCCTAGACCCAGCCAAGACCCGGCTCTTTCCGCTTTGAGTTGCTTCCCGCCACTCGTTACTGGTGGAACACAGGCACCAATATATTGTGGTACATTCGGTACCCGCACGCAGCCTCCAGGGACATCCAAAGTTATGCTCGGAATGTGGGTCACTGTGATCCTTTAATTAAGAGCAACAGCTCCATCTGGGCGGCAACCGAAAACCACTGCCTCGCGTGGAACTCGACGCATATGATCATCACCTGATTGATTCGTTTTTGCTGGTCATTTGTATATCCGTCCTAACTCCGTCGGATCCGCGTTCGTTAGCTCGGTACTCCATGGGATCGTCGGCGCTTCCTGGTCTCGGTGCCCTTCGCCGAATCGCGGATTAGCATTGTCAGGTAGGCGGCAGGCAACCATGGCCGCCGTCACCATAAGGTCCATAACACTTGGAAACTGGCAACTGCATGAAATCATTGAATGAACCATCAACCTAATGGAGAGAATTTTAACCCGATGCTTAATGCGGTCCTGGTCATTGATACAAGCATACAAGCAAGCGGATAGTCTGGTGGGACTGACTGGCTATGACGCAGCTGGCCGGTGCAGTTGATGCAGTGGACCCCTGTGACCGGAGTAGTTAACTGTGCGATGGCATTGCGAATGCATCGTGTCAGCCCATCAACCCACCAATTTCAATGCGACGCTGGTGTCGCAGCCTGAAACAGAATCAAGATCAACATATTAATAGTGATAGCAGATAAATGAGCGGACGAATATGTTGATCGGACTTAAAACAGTTCGGCCAGCATCGCACTTCTTTCGTTGATGTCATCTTCCAGGGAACCAGAGCGAAATTAAGCTTTAGCGTGATTTACCATACCGCTCAAAACTTCAGAAAAGATTGATAGCATACCGATGGAAGTGGTTCCTGGAGTTGGTGGAGCGCCTTGTGCAACATGATGCAAGTTGTTGAGAGTGGATGACTGTGTTTGCGTCTTGAATGTCACGGTCTTGGTAAAGGCTACTAGCAGCATTAGTGTTCAATAAAGAGGAGATTGCTGGCTGCATCGCGCGCACCGGTTTGATCTTCCCTCTCGATTTACCCTCTGCGTCGCTACCTCAGCGTGTTCCGGGAAGCCGCATACCAAACGGGCGAAACAACATCAACAAGGATCCACACAAACTGGGTAAACAGGATAAGTCAGTGTTGTTTTCTAGGCACTGGAGTCAATTGCCAACCAACAATGCGTGTGCAGATGTGGCAATTCAGAGACGGCGAGGGGAGCTCCGGGCGCACGCTTCCAAACCCGCGTCGCAACGCTGGCGCTGGAGACAGTGCCAAGGGCGGCAGCTATAAAACAAGCCTCAGCTTCTTGCTGAACGACTCAGACAACGAGCCTCCGCTAGCACCACCAGCTTCATCTCCAACGATAATGTCCCAGAAAGGACCCAGAGCGAATATGGCATGCGTGGCGTGCCGAAAACGTCACATCAAGGTGCGTGAACCTGGGGCAGAGTACCAATGTGTCAGCGCTGAAAACGGGACAGTGCGAAGCGACGGCGAACGCCGGAGACAATACCTGCGCGAGGTGTGTCAGGAAAGGGCTCCACTGCGAGTACTTGGACACTGCGCTTGAAGAGGCACTCTATCCTCCAGCCCCTCCGCGACGCCCTCCCGGAACGCCAGGTCCCGCCTTGCAGCTCGTCCACCCGTACCCAGCGCAAGGCGGGAACGTCGCGGGAGGTCCGGGCGGCTATGCTGGTCCGGCTGATGCCATTCCGTCTCGATCGAAAACACCGCATCCAAGTTACGGGGCATATGCCCAAGGACATTACACTCAGCAAGGACAGCAGCCATACCCTCAGGCTGGGTACTCTGGGACTACGCAAGAACAAGCCTAGTTAGTGTTTCACAAATATATACTAATTTACATACCTCTGACTACCGCCCTCAGTTATCAAGGCATTCCAGCGGTGCCCGGTGATTACGGAGCGGGGTACAGTGGATATGCCTATTACCCTAATCAGCAGCAGCAGCAGCCCATAAAACCCTAGTGAGTTTGATGCCTCGCAAATTTACGGCAGGGCTTACCAGTTGTCGCAGCGGTTGTGTCTGCCCCGCACCTCCATGTCGTTGCGGTGCACAGATGCGTATGGGTTAAGGATAGAAGATACGCTGGCAATCACCATGAATCGGAATATTTAAGTTAACATGGGCATTCGAGTAACTTACCAAGCATTATAGCTTATAGAGAGGAAGTAATCTGGTATTTAATCAATATTAGCACTGTATATTGGGTTACTTATACGTACCTCCTTCACTGCCTGTGTTCGGCATTCCTCGATCCGTCGATGGACAACGGCGGAGACTTAGAATGCGTGTCTATGAAGAGTAAGCATAACGTGGTGAGGAGTATACTCAAAAAAACACTTCACCAGACGCAACCCCGATGGCCAAGATGGAAGGGAAGAGAGAAGTGCGGACTTGTGAGTCATCGTATGATTCTATCAATCTGTCAACAACTACGTCATCATCACGTGTATCACGTGTATCATTTACGTAGACGACACGAACGCGCGATTGACGGGTGCCGGGAAGCAAACTTAACCTCATCTCCATGGCATCCCCACACCAGGCTCATATCCCGCTTGATTCCCACCTGCCGGAATCTCTTGCTGACCAAAGTAATTCCCCCAGTCGGTAAGCCTAGATGCAGTCAGAACTTAGAAGCGAAGGGATGAATAAAACATGCACGTACTCGAGGCCAACCGGTGCATTTGCCCATATCGCCGCCGTCTCGCGGTCGATCATGCTCATATCAAGCAGCATCTCGATGTCGCCGTGTCCGAATTCCGCCATAGGCGGCCCACCGTCAGGGAGTGGGTTGTATGGCGCGCCGTTTGCGTACTGGTCCCAGATTGGCGCAGCAGCGGTCGGCATGGCATTGGCTTGGTAAAACAGGGAGGAATCGACATCTGCCATCCCGGCCGGGGCGCCGTTTGTTTGTTCTGACGATTGCCCTTTCTCCCGGTCTGAGGGCTGCCTGTGGTCGCGCAGTTGACCGACAGAAGTGAGCTCGACGAGCAGGTCGCCCAGCATCCCTGCATGCTGCCATCTACATGTCACAATAAGAGGTATGCGGGATGACTAGCCAGACAACCCACCGATCTTCACATAGGCCGATAGCAGCCATACATTTCCGCACGTTGGCGAGATGGACATCCACAGAGCGGATGTCAACCTGCCCGCCAGCAGTGCGCTTTCCGCTCCAAACGTTGAGGATCAGAACAATCGCAGAGGAAAAAACAGCGTGCTAGGGACAACGCCCTAAGGACAGTGTACTCGATTTGAGGAAAGGTATTGCTCACGAAACTAAATACCACGGGGACTTTCCCCTTCCGCTGCATTTGCACGTCAACAACATGGGCGCATGTGCGCGCAGCACTCGTGCAAATTGCAAGGGCAGGTAGCGTCTGTGTTCGAACAGTAATGAACTCCATGTCGATTGTGAGACTGGTTTACTTACGGTCGTTGACTGGGACTTGCGCAGCATTGGTATGAATGGGCGATGGACGAGGATCTGGACATATGTGTATGCACATTGGATGGCCACACTCTGGTCGAAAAAAACTGGATCCGTGCGAGCGGGGTCCCATTGGACTGTCACTGGCTAAGCAGGTAACAGACTAAATAAACAGCAACTCACGATGCGCAGGGACCCGCTCTCGCCAATTGTTCATTGCCGAATCAAGCTCAGCGACAACATTCTCGTCCCAGCGTTCGCCCATACCGCGAAAGGCATCACGGAACTTGGCCAAAGAGTACTATGTCGCGATCGGCGTTGAGCATGTAAATTTCGGCTGCAGAATAAAATAACTGACCAGTATCTTCAAGCTAACTGCGAGGATATGATTGAGGCCCATCATTGTGTTGAAGAAGGCGACGTAGGAGGGTACACCTGCAGGCTGCTGGAACGCATGGGTGGGATGCTCCCAATATTCATCATCGCATTCGATGGGCAAGTCAACGTCGTAACTTGGGGAGCTTCAATGATGGCGGAGGAGGAGTCCAGAAACGACGCACTCTTCGTACTGCATACTACACGGCCGCCCCATACCAGAGCTCAGCATTCGATCTTGAAAAACAAGAACCCAGAAAGCCCGTTTGAATTGCTCCCGTTCGACAGTATGCTTCTCAAAACGCGCGGAACGTCGATGAATCCCGAGATCCTATATAATAATGAGCTGCCAAACGGCTGCATTGACCGGTTATTCAGGTAAGTACCTGGGCTAGCCTTAATGCGGTACCGACGATGTTCCAGCAGATATGGGGCGATGCGGCTCGCTCGAGGAATTGGATGGCCAGCTGACGTCAAATGAAAACTTAATTTGGTCGCAAATGAATAAAATAACTTACAGAAGCGTTCTGGAGGTCGTACAGCGTTGTTTGACCAAACATCTGATTGGCCAGCGGTGGGACCTGGTCGAACCATGCCCATCCGCACGCCAATCCTTGTCCTGGACCGCCCGATGCAGCCGCAATTTGCGCCGACTCCGTAGGAGTCGGCGTGTGTAACCTGGGTAACGCAGCATATGCAGCGGCGGTAGAGGGAGAATCGGCCGCTGAGAATAACTCTGAGTAGCTGACTGGGCCTCGTCCGTATCGATCGTCCAAGCCTACACCAATCCCGCCTGGTGCGCCGACTCGGGGATCAGAATGCCAGCGAGAGGCAACCGCACAAACTAGAAGCACGGTGCCTGCGAATGGGTCATTGCTGAGACGATTTAAATCAAAGATAAAGCAGTGCGCAACCAACAACGGACCTCAAGAACAATCCATCCCTCACATTCTTCTCGAAGGTTGGGCGATGTAACAAGGGTAGGTAGATGTTGACGTTCGCGAAGTAGAGCTCAACGAGCTCATTCATAAGCGGTATTGGAGGGAAAGTATAGTTGTGTGTGCGGACCGAAGTGTTTGCCCACTTTTTAGGTTGAGCTAACGTGTTTAGACAACGATAGCGGACTTTACTCACCGGCCGGAAGGTCCAAAATTGCATTCTTCTCGAAGCCATAACTGCACCGTCCCTCCCACCGACTCCGTGACTGTCGGCCTGCCTTGGATCTCCGTCCTTCCCGACCTTCCTTTTCAAATCCATGGCGGCATGAACAAGCGCAATGCCTGACGACTTGCCGATGAAGCGCACTTCGTCCTTCGGGAGGCTGAGATTGCTTTCCACGCGCAGCCGTTCAAACTGGGACTCGGTTACTTCTTGGACCTCTGAAATTCAAGGAAGCCGCCCACCTGCTTGACCATCGCTATGTGTTCCAGATCTTCTGCCGTGGGTTCGGGTGGGGGGAGAATCAGGTTCTGCAGTGTCGTCCTAAGCATGAACAACGAGCCGTTTGTATCTCCTGGCATGATGGTGTCGTTTATGTGGGTTGGCGGTGAGGAGGCTGCCGAGGACGAGCCAGAGCCGATATGACCTGCAGAGAGTTCGCTTCTGAGGGCTCGAAGCTGAGCTTCGGAGTGTTGAAGGCGGGATTCTAAATTGGCTATGTATGTGCTGTCCCTCACGTCGATATTGGCGCAAGGATTGTGAAGTCAAGACACACCTGCGGGGCGGCGGTCGTTTCTAGCACAACAGTTCAGACTCATGTGAGGTCAAACGGCAACACGACACGCACGGCAGCTTTCTTGAGATATGTACACTCTACATTCATGTCGATGCAGGTCGAGCATGCTTCGTTTTCCTCTTGCGAACCATCGCCTTGGGTCCTTCAGCAAGTATCACAGGGCACTTGTGGAGACGTACATCGGACTGAATGATGTATCAACACCATAAGCTCTCGCACCAAACCAATGAGACGCACTTTTTCGGCTCCGACACAGATCGCATGCTCTGCCCAGCCTTCGCTTCTTCCGTTGGCCCTCGGCTTCTCCATCGCGGTCGTCGTTCGAGGACATGCTTGATATTAACGGGGGAAATGGCCTCTGCGCGTCAGAGGAGAGGTCCTGATAGATTGGTGAGGGAGAGAGAGAAAAGGAGGAGGCGCGCCGAGTCACACGTCACCCGGCATATGAGCTGATCCGGAAGAAAGCTGATCCGTCGGGATACTGACAAATTCCAGCGAGGTGATAGGCGCTGCTCTGGTCCAAACCGATGTTTCAGACAACGGTTCTATCGGGATATCCTGCACATCTTGGAGGTGTTCCGCCGGGTTTACCACGGCTGGGAACCGGTTGAGGGAAGTAAGTTACAAGTTGACCATCGATGTTTTCACAACTTTTCACTAGATCTGTCAATTTTCTGTATCTTCCTAGACTATAAGACCCACCGGCCAGCTGCCGCTCTGAAGTGTAGGCATACCTTATAGTGCTGTCACTGAGTTATTGTTGGATTTTGTTCAAGTTTGTAGTTAGAAATAGTATGACATTGGTGGTGAAATCTAAGCTCTGGATTGAGTGTGAGTGTGAAACTACTTAGAGCCAAACAATTTGGCACACTCAACAGCCCCGAAAGCGCTTCAAAAGAAAAGAAAAGAACAATCAGATCACTTATGTTCCCAGTGAGACATGAAGAGAATTCGAAAATTCCCTCTTTAGGACCAGAATTTGTAATGATCACTATACCTGATTCTGCCACAATTAGGGGGGCTAGGGCAACAATTTTTCGCTATGAAAGGTTGGCTCAAATATCCAAGATTTTTGAGTATACCCAAGAGACAATTTGAACTTTTTGACAACTTTTATCAGGAAAATGTCAGAATAAAAATTTGAGGTTTTGTACCTGATGATTACTAAGAGAAATGTTGGTGTCAGGGGAACCCCCGCTTCGGCCCCCTTCGGACCGTCCGAGCGCATCCAAGGTGCATCTGACCGGTGCCCCCTCGGACGCTCCGATCTACCCCGACCCTCGTCCTCGGCCTCCTTCGCCCGCACAATCACCGATCCATCAAGTGTAAGGGCAACCCTGGAGACTCCGACGAAAGCCTAGCAGGGGAGGATCCAAAGCGTGAATAAGACTACAGGAAATACACGGAGGGACCGACCTAGCAGGGGAGGATCCAAAGAGAAGGAACTCTAGGGTCCGCCTGCTAGGGCGCCAACTATATACTGGTCGTCCGTAACTGCCGACGTAGAGCGCAGAAGGCCTGAGCGGCGTCGCAGGCTCTGTCCCAAGGTGATCGTTGGGAGGGTCTTGACGGATCGGTGATTGTGCGGGCGAAGGAGGCCGTGGACGATGGTCGGGGTGGGTCGGAGCGTCCGAGGGGGCGCCGGTCGGATGCGCCTCGGATGTGCCTCGGATGCGTTCGGAGGGTCCGAAGGAGGCCGAAGCGGGGGTTCCCCTGACATCACCCCCCCCTTTGAATGCGGCGTCCCGACGCATAGTTCGGAAGGGCAAGGAGTCGAAGGTCGCTGAGGCGATGTGCCGTGGTTTACCTGGGTACCTCCGATAGAAGTCCGCAATTTTGTCTGGCGCGAAGACACGGTCGAACCGAACCCACGAGTCGTGCGAAGCATCGTAGCCTTTCCACCTGACGAAGTAGTTAAGACGCTTATACCTTATCCTGGCATCCAAGATTTCCTCGACTTCCCATTCGGGGACTCCATCCTCTAGTTCGGGGGGCGGTTCGTCGTAGCCGGGTCGTCCATTGAAGGGGGTCGTCCTGAGCGAGCTCGAGTTTAACAACGGGGAAGACGGGGTGGAGCTTGGAGTAACGCGGGGGAGGTCGAGCTTGTAGGCACCTTTGCTAACCTCTGCGAGCACCTTGAACGGTCCGAGGCGCTTGTGGGAGAACTTCTCGGAGGGCCGAGTTGTTCTGATGTCAGAGGCATCTAACCAAACCTTATCACCAACTTGAATATTCGAGGCGTCCGATCGTCTCCGATCGTAGTACCGTTTATACTCGTCTTTGGCTTTGACGAGTGCGGCCTTCGCCTCGGAGACGCCGTTCGCTATCCGATCGCGAAAACTCGTTCACTGACTCCAACTCTGAGCGGGTGCCTGGCTCGAAACCCATTCGGGAGGCCGGCCAGTGTCCGTCATAAAGGGTACCTGTTGAGTGGAGGAGTGAACGTGGTTGTTATAGGCGAACTCAGCGGCAGGGATAAGCTCGTCCCAGTCGTCTTGTTGGTAGTTGGTGAAGATTCGGATGTACTGCTCGAGCTCCTGGTTAACGCGTTCGGTTTGTCCGTCGGTCTGCGGGTGGTAAGCCGTAGAGGTAGCCGGCTTGACGCCAATTAAGCGCCAGAGTTCGCGCGTGAAGTCAGCGATGAACTGCGAACCACGGTCCGAAATGTACTTCTCGGGGGTTCCGTGGTGTCTCCAGACGTTCCGATAGTACAAGCGGGCAGCTCCGACCGCGTCTATTGTCGTATGGCATTCGGTGAAGTGAGCGCGTTTCCCGAGGGCGTCAACCACTACCATAACCGCGTCATACCCATGGGCGTCGGGGAGCTCGACGATGAAGTCCACAGTGACGGTGTGCCAGCGCTCGGGGGGGACTTCGGTTGGATGTAGCTCCCCGTGCGGAAGCCTTCGGAGGGCCTTCGTACGACAGCATAAGTCGCAGGTCGCGACGTAGCGTCCGATATGGCGGGACATCTGTGGCCACCAGTAGTTGCGCGAAACCAACTCCAGGGTCTTGAACCGCCCGGCATGTCCGGCGACACACGTGTCGTGGCAGAGCTCTATAATGCGCCTCCTCAGGTCTTTGTCTTTGGGGACTACAACCTTGCCGCGGAAGTACAGGAGGTCGCCTGAGACGGCCCACTCGTCCGAACGCGATGAGCGGGGGCCCCGAGCTTGACCTCGGACCTTCAAGAGTTGCCGAGCCGCAAGTGCGACGGGTTCCTCTAGGTCAGGCTCACCGGATAGCGCTTCCTTGATGTCGCGGACAAGTTCGGAGCCAGGCCCAGAGACAGTGACGGCCTCAAGCGCGCGAACGTGGAACAGTTCGGGGCGTAAGAGGGTGACATCCGAGTTGTCGTCGGAGATACCGTGGTCAGGCCGGCGGGAGAGAGCATCGGGACGGCCCATCTGGCAACCTGGGACGTGGTGCAGCGTAAAGTCAAACCTGGAAAGGTACAACGACCATCGGGCTTGCCGACGATTAAGGTGTTGCGCCTTTCGGAAGTATTCCAAGTTCTTATGGTCAGTCCAGATCTCAACCGGATGCGCGGCGCCCTCGAGGAAATGCCGATACTCCTTGAGTGCGCGGATGATCGCGAGCATCTCCTTGTCGTGAATCTCGTAGTTGCGCTGGACATCATTTAAGCTTTTGGAATAGAACACTACAGGGTGCCACTTCCCGTCCGGGGCGGATTGTTGTGAAAGAACCGCCCCCGTCGCATAATCTGAGCTGTCTGCTTCAAGTCGGAAAGGCCGAGAGTCGTCCGGGATCGCTAAGACAGGTTCTGATACGACCGCGTCCTTGATGGCTTGAAAGGCGGCGGCTTCGGCGTCTCCCCAGGTCCACTTCTGGTCTTTCTTGGTGAGCGCAAAGAGAGGTTGCGCTAGGGCCGAGAAATCCCGAATGAACCTGCGGTAGAAATTAGCAAACCCCAGGAACTGCTGAACGTCCTTCTTGTTCTCGGGCGGAGGCCATGCGGAGACTCCGGCAACCTTAACGGGATCCATTTCGACGTGGTTGTGCGAGATAATGACCCCCAAGTACTCGATTGACGATTTCTCGAAGTCGCACTTTTTCTTGCGAAGGTACAACTTGTGCATTCGGAGCCGCCGAAGGACCTCCCGGACGATCTCGCGGTGCTTGCGGAGGTCCGAATGTGCGATAAGGATGTCGTTGAGGTAGATCATAACGTCGCCTGAAAGAATGAGATCCTGGAAAATGTCATTCATCATCGTTTGGAACGTCGCGGGGGAGTTTGTCAGGCCGAAATACATCACCAAAGGTTCGAACAACCCTCGGTTAGTCCGAAAGGCCGCCTTCCACTCGTCTCCTTCTTTAATCCGGACGTTATTAAAACCCCAGCGAACGTCGAGTTTGGTGAAGTAACGAGCGCCCTTGAGCCTGTTGATAAGGTCGTTAATCAACGGAAGGGGGTACCGGTTCTTAATCGTCATTGCGTTGAGGGCGCGGTAGTCCTGGACAAACCGAAGCCCTCCGTCCTTTTTCTTAACGAAGAAGACGGGGGAGGCCATCGGAGATTTCGAAGGGCGAATACGGCCTGTGGCAAGTCCTTCCTCGATGAACTCGTCAAGTTCGCCTGTTCGAGGGGAGAGATCGGATACACCTTGCAGTTAGCGGGCTTCGCGTCGGGGACGAAGTTCGATAGCGTGGTCCCAAGCCCTTCGTTCTGGTAACGTGTCAAAGGACTCCTTGTCGAAGACGTCTTGGAACTCCTTGGCCCAGTCCGGGATCTCCGAAGGCGGAGGGGCCGAGTTACGGGTGAAGGCCTCTGCAAGGCGTTGGGACACTGTACTGCCAGCGGGATCTCCTCAACTGGGCGAAAGGAGGTGTAGAAGATGCGGTCGCCGTCTTCAAGATGCTCGTCGCCGTCGAGATCTGGTGAGGGCTCCGGAGGGTCCGAAGCAGCTCCGAGCTCGTCGTCAGCATCATCTGGGCCAGCGATATCGATAGCGCAAACAGTGGGGAAGGCGCCCGCAAGTAGTCGTGATTTAAGGAGTCGGAGCCGCCGAACCTCAGCGCGTTCGGTCCGCTCTTCGTCACGGCAGGTAGAGCAGCTGCGGGGCAACAACTCATTTTCACCTCCTTTGTTTCCCAGTTGATCTCGGGGTTATGCTTTTTGAGCCAGGAGTATCCGAGTATCAGGTCCTGTTTCCCAAGGTGGGTTACAGCCAGCTGAACGCGTTCGGAGTGTCCGTTGTACCGTAGAACGAGGTCCACGATTTGGCGAATAGACCCAGCATCATTGGGGGTGCCGTCGACGTTGTAGACCGGGATGGGTACTGAGAGATTTCGGACTGGCACATTATTCCGGTTGACATATTCTGTGTCGATAAAGTCCGAAGTAGCTCCGCAGTCGACCAGACCCGAGAGGGAGAGCTTGAGCGCGTTCGCAGTGGACTCAAGTTCAAGGCGGAGGTGCAGCGAGTTAACGCCAGGAGCGGCAGAGATGGTATAACTGCCAGGTAGCTTTTTCTCCCAGGCAAGTCGGCGAATCCGAACGGGGGCTTCGGAGGGGGCAGAGGGTGCGTCTTTCGTTTCGGGCTCGTTGTAGGGCAAGGGAGTTGATTCATCATACAAACAAGTGAAACGATTTATGGACGCGAACGAGGGCACACCAGTCACTCGTCGCGGGGACAAAATCCTCTGCCGGAGCCTCCGAATGCGCCTCCGCTAAGGCCGCAGTATCGGACAACCGCGCAAGCAGCTCTCCCAGCATCTCATCGCCAAGTTGCTGGATTACCTCGTCGAGGATGTCCACATGGCGGACGTCGGCGGGGAGCGGACAGTCCCGAGCCAAATGGTTGGGGTCGCCGCATCTGAAGCAGGCTCGACGAGGGGCACCCCGAGCCCTAGTACGATCCAGCTCCATAGGGACGGGAGCCGGAGGTACCGGGACGGGGCGCGGGCCGGGATGGCACAGGCGGGGCCACCGGGCGGATGGGGAACGGAGTTGCCGAACGAGTGATGGGGAAGGCGCCGCGCGGAGCTCCCGGCGGTCCGCGGGGTAGCCGTTCCCTTAATGAGCTTCGCTCGCACCAGGGCTTCATATTGTCGGAAAGCCCGAGTGCGCCAGCCCAGATAGTCACGGAGGTCTGGGGGGTCATTCGAAGAGGTGATGCCGTTGTTGATCAAGGGGTCAAGTCCGTGGTGGTACTTGGTTACCTTAACCAACGCGTCTTCGGCCAGCGAGGTCCATCAAGTCCTCGAAGTCGTCGGTATATCCGTAGACATCCCGCGTTCCCATGTGATAACCCGCGCTTTCCAACTTAGCGAGCGCGAGGTCCTGTTCGTTCTCCTCGACGAACCGAAGGCGAAACTCGGAGAGGAACTGGCTGCACCGAGGGAAGGGGAAGGGGTTTTTGCTCCCATGACGCTCTGCCCATTGCTGAGCAGGTCCCTCCGCCATATAGGACATGGCGTAGCGGACGGCCTTTTCTTCGCTCGGCTCTCCGTTAACTACGAAGGCCTCCGGGGCAAGCCGAGTGTAGGTTTTGACCGCGTATAGGAAGGCGCGGCCGCGTTTGCAATCTCCGTTAAACGCAAACGGGGGGTTTGGTCGTAAGACCAGTTTTGAGGCGACAGTAACGTCACCAAATAACGCATCCGCCGTCGGGGGGCATTCGGAGATGCCGGGCGGTTCGGGAGCTGCCGGAGGTGGTGCGGCAGGAAGCCTGGGAAGCAAGGTGGGTGAGGATATTGGTGAGGTTGTCTAGTTTCGCCTCAAGTGCGTCCATGCGCGCATCAGCGTCCGGAGCAGCTCCGGTAGACATAGCGGGCGTAAAGACGACAAGAGCAGAGGAGGAGGGGTCAAGTGGCAGGGGCGGTGACGAGGGGGGGTACGGACTCGTACTCCGAGCCTGAGTCAGCACCAAACCTGGCAATCTTGACCGGTTAATCCCGTAGAGAGTTCCTTCTGCTGTAAGGGCAACCCTGGAGACTCCGACGAAAGCCTAGCAGGGGAGGATCCAAAGCGTGAATAAGACTACAGGAAATGCACGGAGGGACCGACCTAGCAGGGGGAGGATCCAAAGAGAAGGAACTCTAGGGTTCGCCTGCTAGGGCGCCAACTATATACTGGTCGTCCGTAACTGCCGACGTAGAGCGCAGAAGGCCTGAGCGGCGTCGCAGGCTCCACGGACATGGGGTGGGGGCGTCCCAGGCATAGTAAAAAAAACTTTTGCTATACCAAAGTTTACACTGGGGGCATTACCTAAGGCGTGCTGGAACACGCGGGCCGGCCGCAGAGCTCACCGTGTACCTACCGCGGGCTTGCTCAGTGACAACTTTCTTTGTCCTAGGACAAAGAAATTCTTTGTTTCTGGGTCCGCGCGCTAGCAACGCGGCTGGCCCGCGGTAGGTACAAGGTCAGCCACGCGTTTGACCCGCATGTTCCGGCAAGCCGTAGGCTGTGCCCCTAGTGTTAGGGGGGTTTTGGTGGGTTTGAGGTTGTGTTTGGAGTATATGTGTCGCATTCTAGCATAGAATGCAAGATGGATACTGACTAGCCCCACTATTTGCCTATGGCAAGGCTTTCAGCAGTTTAGTTAGGCTGTAGTGTGACTAGCCTCACAATTTATCATTGACATTTAATCATATATAATCACAGAAAGCCTACCAGTGACACTGTAGAGACTCAATTGCTATGTATTACTCAAAAGTCAAAGTATTTGTCAGGGGAAGCCCCTTTCGGCCCCTCAGAGACGTGTCCGATTCCGGTCCGATTTTCTGGAAACTGGGCTGTTTCCACAAGTTTTTGATAGAGTTTTTTCTAAGCAAAAGTGAGAAGAAAAACTTCTAATTTTCTTCTTGGTGTCAGGGGAACCTCCCTTTCGGCCCGGAGACGTGTCCGATTCCGGTCCGATTCTGGTTCCGACTCCGGTCTGGCCCTCCATCTCGCCCGCACAATCACCGATCTGTCAACGCTCTCCCAACGGTCACCCTGGGACCTTGGCTGTGATGCTGCCCAGGCCTTCTGTGCCCAACAGCGGCAGCTACAGACAAGCAGTATATAGTCAGCTCCCCAGCAGGCGGACCCTTAGAGTTTCTTCTCTTTGGATCTTCCCCTGCTAGGACCTTGATCTCAGGCCTCCGGGGTTGCCCTTACAGCAGAAGAAACTCTCTACAGGATCAACTGGACAAGATTGCCAGGTTCGGTGCTGACTCAGGCTCGGAGTACAAGTCTGTTCCGCCCTCGTCACTGCTCTGCCACTCGTCCCCTCCTCCTCCACTCCTGTGGTCCCCGCACCCGTCATGCGATCTGGAGTCACTCCCACTGCAGACACCCGGCTGGACTCACTTGAGGCGAAAATTGATAGCCTAACTGAGGCCCTTGCTTTACTCACCAACCAGGCTTCTGCTGCTGCTGCTGCACCCCAAATACCATTGCTGGAGACGTCGATTCCGACTCCGACTCTGGTCCAGGGCAACTCCGAAGCCCTCTTTGGCGACATCAACCTTGTCTCAAAATTAGTGTTGCTACCAAATCCCCTATTCACCTTCAACGGCAATCGGAAATGTGGCCGCGTGTTTCTCTATGCGGTCCGCACCTATGCCCGCCTTGCCCCTGAGGCCTTCATGGTCAATGGAGAGGCCAGCAAGGAAAAGGCCGTCCGCTATGCCATGTCATTTATGGCAGAAGGACCTGCTCAGCAATGGGCAGAGCTCCACGGAAGCAAAGCCCCATTTCCGTTTCTGTCCTGGGGTTCATTCGTTTCCAGGCTCCTAAACCAACCCTCGTTGCAGAGCGCAATCCGAGGGTGTATTTCAGGCTGAATATGTATCAATTTAGTACAAAATCAAAAAAATGTGACGTGATGTTACGAAGAGTTTGGGCGAGCGCTCTGCAAGAGGGCTGGCCCAGCTAACCCGGACCGACCACCGAATATCTCCGATTGGGCTGGCATCAAACCGTCAACAGCTTCCCTCCGCCACACTCGTTTTCTCCCTCTCACTTATTTAATTACTCTATTCTCTTCTAAACACCGGGCTGTCAGGCCTGGATGGCCGCTGAGGCAACAAACACGACATCTAGATCTATCACATTCGAAGGCGGCCACACGCCAGGATACCCACACCCGTCAAGTGTGTTTCCACAACTTTCAAGCGCGTTTGCTCAGGATTCGCGCGCGTCGAGCCCACCATCCACGCCATCTCCTGCCCCCAAACCCACCAACCGACCTCCAAAACCCGCTCCGGCACCACCACCGCGATGGACAGTCGAGAAGGTCCGTGAACTTGGACAAGAGGTGTTTGGCCAGCGGCCGTGTCTGTCCCAAATACACCCAGCACTGGCTCTATTAGCGGGAAAGGATGTCGTTAACGTGGCTGCGACTGGTGTCGGCAAGACGAACGCGTTCTTGCTGCGTCTCCTCATGGCACGGAAGGATGGCGAGGACAAGATGATATTTGGGGTGACGCCGCTGGTTATGATTGGGGAGCAGATGAAGGAGAAGCTGGGAAAGGTAGGGGTCAAGTGCGTGAATAGGGTAGAGCACGGGTCAGGGTCAACCCGCAGGGTTTCAGGGTAGGGTCTGTCAGGGTCAGGGTCAGGGTACACCAATTTCTGAACCCGGCCAAACCCGGACCCTTTCAGGGTCAACCCGGAGGGTCCAATAAGCTATTGTGATTTAACAATTCCCTATCTAAACATGATTTTTGTGAGTTTTTTAAGAGACATAAAAAATTACATGTCACTTAAGTCACTCATGTAACATGTGACATATAAGTAAACTGTATTAAATATGCTTAAAATCTTGAAAAATAGGCTACATATGCCATATCTGAGCCAATATCACATAGCAAAATGTATATTATGTCAAAATTATTGTTCCAAATACACCTTCTGCTACCATGTCTGTAACCCGTGGGTCAACCCGGACCCGGTTGGACCCGTACCCGGAAGGGTCAGGGTTAGTCAGGGTCAGGGTCAGGGTCAGCCTTCTGAGACCCGGACCTGGACCCGTGCTCAACCCTATGCGTGAACTTGAGTGCAGAAAACAATTCAGCAGAAGTATACGAGGTGCGTCGCACAAGGCAATCGTTGTATCCCGCATTCTGACACTCACGACAGGCAATCCTTCGCGGCGAATACCAGGTGGTTACGGTCAGCCCGGAAATCATGGATTCACAGCCCTTCCAAGCGCTATTCAAGAATGTGAAGATTAAGGAACGACTGCTATATGTCGTTTTCGACAAGGCACATTGCATTTCGGCCTGGGGCAAGACATTCCGTCCCCATTACCTCCGTGTTGGGAACCTGCGCCATCTCCTTCCGCCGCAGGTCCTCTTCTTCATCACATCGGCAGCGCTCCCCCGCCATATTCTGGACGACATTAAACAGATACTGCGGCTTCAAACGGGCGACGGCACCAAATATTTCATTCACTCTAACGACCGCCCCAACATCCATCTCGTCGTCCGCCCAATGCGGTACGCCGTCGCTAGCTACAAGGACCTCGCATTTCTGATCCCACCAAACACAACGTCTACTTCACCTCCCCCGAAATTTCTTGTGTTCATGGACAACATCGCGGCGTGTGAGGAAGCGGTCGAAGTTTCTCCGTTTGCGCCTGCCTGCCAACCTGCGGACAAAGGTCTGCTACTTCCATTCCACAATGACGACGCAGTACCGCTCGAACACCTTCGATGACTTCAAGGCTGGTGATATCTGGGGCATGGTCGTGACAGATGCGTTTGGAATGGTATGTTCTTTGCAATTCAGCCACGTTACTACTCACTGATTCTGTTGTAGGGCCTTGATATTCCCGACATCAAGCTCGTTGTGCAGTACCGTCTGCCACGCGGCGGCGATGTGTCTGCTTTATGGCAGCGCTTCGGGCGTGCAGCACGCGACCGTAATGTGACGGCGACTGCTGTGCTGCTCGTCAACTCGGGTACACTCGATCTCGAGCGTCTTGCTGCCATTGAGCGTTCTCGGAAGAAACGCAAGGCTCCAGCTAGCGAGACGATCTCTGCCGCGCCAATAAAACGCCGCAAGCGGACAGACGGGCTTCCCGTCATCCATTGGTCTCTCATCTACACCCACGATCCGCCCATCGAGTTTGCCACAACAACAGGGCTTCTTCTTGGCGTCAACCCGTTGCCTGTTGTCCGGTCTAGTATCTATTCGCAGCCACCACTGACTGAGACCCAGTCAAAGTCCAAGGCAAAGAAGGCCGAGTTTGCAATACGACTGGGGTCCGCCATTGATGATTTCATCAACGCCGGCACCCGTGGTCTTGGGTGCAGAAGAGAACCTGTCTTGTTATATTTCCAGCATCCTCACATGCGTGCGTTTGTTCGGTAGCTGGCTTCCGATCTGATGTTTCGTATAGAGCCACCGCTGCATCTCCAATGCAATCCATCGAGTCCGACTGGATGTTTGCGTTGTGCTCCTCAACCTTCGCTGTTGTGTTGCGACGTCTGCTTGCCCGAAGGCTTCGGAAATCTAGCTCCGATTGACATGCCCCGTATTGTCAAAATGGCTAAGACCACCGTCAAGAAGACTTATATGCCATCTGCAATAGGCAAGTCCCTTACTGAGGCACTCACCGACTGGCGAGAGCGCACAGCTCTTCAGGCATTCGATCCATGTATCTTGGATGAATATGGAGTATCAATCTTAATGTCCGATGAGGTACTGACACGTTTGGCTACATGTGCCGACCTGGGCAAGATTACTGACCTTGCATCTATTCGACGTGAAACCTTATGGCGGACAGATTTAGTTGATGCTCATGGTGATGCACTTTTGCGTATCATTACTGAATTCCAGCCACGGCTGCCTCTTGCCCCCATTGCTCCTCCACAAACACCTCAGACTCGAACTTCCTCAACATCGCAATCTGCTCCTAGCACCAAACGGGTTATGCACTGCAGCATTTGTAAACAACCCGGCCATAATAGTATGCTTCTCTGAATTTTGCATTCCAAATGCTGACTTTGGATAATCTAGAACTTTCCTGTCATTACCGTCCTTTGGGCAAGGAGAATATTCTGCCCACTACACCAAGTCACATTTAATTATAATACTATTCTGACTGTAAATATTCTTTTTCACGCACGTTAATCAAAGCCATCCTCATTCAAGTCATCCTCATCCTGAACCTCTTCCTCTTCATCATGAACTGCTTCCTGATCATCCCAATCATCTTCCTCTTCATCCTCGTCTGGATCATCATCAGTGTCAGCTATAAGGGCTCGCCCTTCACCACGAAGTGGGAGAGCAGCTAGGGAGGTTTGGCTGATATTGATACCAGTCTTGATGGAGTCCTCGATCTTATATTGTACATGCCGTGATACCACGATTTCATGAGCACGAGTCTGTTCAAGGTCTTCTCGGAGTAACTGGATAGTGCTGTCCAGATTTGGTGGTGCATGTTTGGTACCATGACCCGCAATGCGAAACTGACGATCTACCTGCATCCGCGCATTTTTGAAGACGCCAAGTAGAGATGACTCCTTGATGATATAGTGCTTTGTATGGTTTGAGAAACGACCGCCATAGACACGCTGGACAAAAAGGTTGTTATGCTCAACCTGCCAGTCAACTCCTCGAAATCGACCAGGCTTGCCAGTAGGATTGATAAGAATGTTCATTCGAATAGCCCGTCGAAGGCCAGGAGGATATCGGAGGTGAACATCACGTAGATATCGGCGGAGATGTAGTGCGTATCGGTGTTTGTTTGTTGCGGAGAAAATATATGACCAGGGCACAAAGGTTGACTCGACTCGACCAATGTCACCGGTGTTCATTGCATAGCTGATCTCTTCATAAAGCGAAAAGAGCTGTTGGCGGAGAAGCATGTTTTCCCGTACCATATCCCGCTCCGAGTCCGGCTTCTGTCGGAGATTTGCAATCATATCACCTTTGGCAACATACTCTTTAGCAAGTCGGTGAGAAAGCGAGACAAGCAGGTTGAAGGAAGGTTTGGATTGGGCAAACAGCTCTAAGGAGCCCCAACTTGAGTCAAGAGACTTGACAAGAACACGCCAGATATCAAGCCGAGACCCAAGGCCAATTCGCAAGATGAGCTCATGCATCAAGCGGAAGCCAGGCTTTGTTTGAATTTTCTTTGATTCCTTCCGCCGGATGATCTCAGCATGATGAAGAAGGCTGTAGCGATCAGAGTCATTTTTGGCAAACCGAGGCAAGATGAGTAGACGCCATAATGCATCTGCACAGGCCATCTTCACATGAAAGAGGCCCATAACATAAACGACATGCTGAAGGCGTCGCCAGGGTGTTTGCTCCTCTCGACGTGAGGCAAGTGCACTTTGGATTTTGTCACCGACTGTAAGGGCAACCCCGGAGGCCTGAGATCAAGGTCCTAGCAGGGGAGGATCCAAAGTGTGAACATTGGTAAGCGAATACAAATGAAGCTGACCTAGCAGGGGAGGATCCAAAGAGAAGAAACTCTAAGGGTCCGCCTGCTAGGTAGCTGACTATATACTGCTTGTCCGTAGCTGCCGCTGTCGGGCACAGAAGGCTTGGGCAGCGTCGCAGGCGAGGTCCCAGGGCGACCGTCGGGAGGGCGTTGACGGATCGGTGATTGTGCAGGCGAGATGGAGGGCCGGACCGGAGATGGAACCGGAGTCGGACCGGAATCGGAGGCGTCTCCGAGGGGCCGAAAGGGAGGTTCCCCTGACATCACCCCCCTTTGAATGCGGCGTCCCGACGCATAGACCGGAACGGAATCGAGTCGAAGGTCGCGGAGGCGATGTGTCGTGGCTTGCCAGGGTACTTACGATAGAACTCTGCAATTTTCTCCGGGCGAAGACGCGGTCGAAGCGGACCCATTGGTCGTGCGATGCGTCGTAGCCTTTCCATCTGACGAAGTAGTTCAGCCGTTTATACCTCACCCTTGCGTCCAGGATTTCCTCTACTTCCCACTCCGGGACTCCGTCCTCGAGGTCCGGAGGGGGCTGGTCGTAGCCGGGCGTCCGTCGAAGGGGTCGTCCTGAGGCGAGCTCGAGCTTGACGACGGGGAAGACCGGGTGGAGCTTCGAGTAGCGCGGAGGGAGGTCGAGCTTGTAGGCACCTTTGCTGATCTCCGCGACTATCTTGAACGGTCCAAGGCGGCGATGGGAGAACTTTTCCGAGGGGCGAGTCGTCCTGATGTCAGAGGCATCCAGCCAAACACGGTCGCCAACCTTAAACTCCGGAGACGGAGTCCGTCTCCGGTCGTAGTAGCGCTTGTACTCCTCTTTGGCCTTAGTGAGCGCGGCCTTGGCTTCAGCAACACCAGTGGCGATCCGGTCGCGGAACTCGTTCACTGACTCCATGGCGGAACGGACTCCGGGTTCGAAGCCCATGCGCGGGAGCCGTCCCGTGTCCGTCATGAAGGGGACCTGCTGCGTGGAGGAGTGAACGTGGTTGTTGTAGGCGAACTCCGCGGCCGGAATCAGCTCATCCCAGTCGTCCTGCTGGTAGTTGGTGAAGATCCGCAAGTACTGCTCCAGCTCCTGGTTGACGCGCTCTGTCTGACCGTCTGTCTGCGGGTGGTACGCGGTGGACGTGGCGGGCTTGATGCCGATTAGACGCCAAAGTTCTCGGGTGAAGTCCGCGATGAACTGTGAGCCGCGGTCGGAGACGTACTTCTCCGGAGTCCCATGGTGCCGCCAGACATTCCGGTAGTAGAGGCGGGCTGCCCCTACTGCATCGACCGTCGTATGACACTCTGAGAAGTGGGCGCGCTTTCCGAGGGTGTCAACGACGACCATGATCGCGTCGTACCCATGGGCTTCGGGAAGCTCTACGATGAAGTCGACGGAGACGGTATGCCAGCGTTCGGGGCGTTTCCGTGGGGTGCAGTTCTCCGTGGGGCAGTCTCCGGAGTGCCTTGGTGCGACAGCACAAGTCACAGGTCGCAACATACCGGCCGATATGGCGAGACATCTGAGGCCACCAGTAGTTCCGGGAGACCAACTCCAGGGTCTTGAAACGACCTGCGTGTCCGGCGACTCGGGTGTCATGGCAGAGCTCGATGATGCGTCTCCGGAGGTCCTTGTCCTTTGGCACGACGATCTTTCCTCGGAAATGGAGAAGACCGCCGGAGACGGCCCATTCGTCAGAACGTGAGGAGCGGGGGCCTCGAGCTTGACCTTGAACCTTAAGAAGTTGCCGGGCCGCTAGTGCGACGGGCTCCTCCAGGTCAGGCTCACCGGAGAGGGCATCATGGATGTCGCGGAGGAGTTCAGAGCCGGGACCGGAAACGGAAACGCCCTCAAGTGCGCGGACGTGGAAGAGTTCAGGCCGCAGGAGGACGACATCGGAGTTGTCGGAATCGACTCCGTGGTCGGGTCTCCGGGAGAGGGCGTCAGGCCGACCCATATCGCGGCCAGGCTTGTGGTGCAGCGTGAAGTCGAACCGGGAGAGGTACAGAGACCACCGGGCCTGTCTCCGGTTGAGGTGCTGCGTCTTCCTGAAGTACTCCAAATTCTTATGGTCAGTCCAAATCTCGACAGGGTGCGCGGCGCCCTCGAGGAAGTGTCTATACTCCTCGAGTGCGCGGATGATCGCGAGCATCTCCTTGTCGTGGATTTCGTAGTTGCGCTGGACATCATTTAAGCTTTTGGAATAGAATGCTACAGGGTGCCACTTCCCGTCCGGGGCGGATTGTGAAAGAACCGCCCCCGTCGCATAATCAGAGCTGTCCGCCTCGAGTCGGAAAGGCCGTGCGTCGTCCGGAATCGCCAGGACCGGTTCCGAGGTGACCGCGTCCTTGATCGCTTGGAACGCGGAGGCCTCCGCGTCGCCCCAAGTCCATTGCTGGTCCTTCTTGGTGAGCACAAAGAGAGGGCGTGCAAGGGTCGAGAAGTCCCGAATGAACCTGCGGTAGAAGTTAGCGAACCCGAGGAACTGCTGAATGTCCTTCTTGTTTTCCGGAGTCGGCCAAGCGGAGACGCCTGCGACCTTGACGGGGTCCATTTCGACGTGGTTGTGGGAGATGATGACTCCGAGGTACTCGATTGACGATTTTTCAAAGTCGCACTTCTCCGCTCGAAGGTACAACTTGTGCTCCCGGAGTCGCCGTAAGACCTCCTGGACAATCTGCCGGTGTTTCCGGAGGTCGGAATGGGCGATCAAGATGTCGTCAAGGTAGATCATGACGTCTCCGGAGAGGATGAGGTCCTGGAAAATGTCATTCATCATCGTTTGGAACATCGCGGGAGAGTTTGTCAGGCCGAAATACATCACCAAGGGCTCGAACAGGCCTCGGTTAGTCCGGAAAGCCGCTTTCCACTCGTCACCTTCCTTGATCCGGACGTTGTTAAAGCCCCAACGGACGTCGAGTTTGGTGAAGTAACGAGCGCCTTTGAGCCGGTTGATGAGGTCGTTGATCAGCGGAAGGGGGTACCGGTTTTTGACAGTCATCGCGTTGAGAGCACGGTAGTCCTGGACGAAGCGGAGTCCGCCGTCCTTCTTCTTGACGAAGAAGACCGGAGATGCCATCGGAGACTTGGAGGGGCGAATCCGGCCCGTCGAAAGCCCTTCCTCGATGAACGCGTCGAGCTCGCGTTGCTCGAGGGGCGAGATGGGGTACACCTTACAGTTGGTGGGCTTAGCATCGGGGACGAGTTCAATGGCGTGGTCCCAGGCTCTCCGCTCCGGTAGCGTGTCGAAGGACTCCTTGTTGAAGACGTCCTGGAACTCCTTAGCCCAGTCCGGGATCTCGGAGGGCGGAGGGGCGGAGTTCCTGGCGAAGGCTTCGGCCAGGCGTTGCGAGACAGTACTGCCAGCGCGTATCTCCTTCGAGGGACGGAACGAGGTGTAGAAGATGCGGTCACCATCTTCAAGCTGACCATCGTCATCGTCGTCGTCGGAGTCCGGCGTCAGATCAGGCAGGCCGGAGTCGTCACCGGAGACGGAATCGTCTCCGTCATCAGACCCAGAAAGGTCCATGGCGCAGACCGAGGGGAACGGGCCGGAGCGGAGACGCTTCTGAAGCGACCGGAGTCGCCGCAACTCGGTCCGTTCGACGCGCTCTTCCTCACGGCAGGTCGAGCAATTGCGGGGGCACCGTGTCATCTTGACCTCCTTGGTTTCCCAATTGATCTCTGGGTTATGTTTCCGCAACCAGGAATACCCCAGGATGAGGTCTTGCTTGCCAAGATGGGTGACGGCCAGCTGAACTCGTTCGGCATGGCCCTTGTAGCGCAGGACCAAGTCCGCGATCTGTTTGATGGAGCCAGCGTCATTGGGGGTGCCATCGACATTGAAAACCGGAATCGGCTGATCAAGAGTGCGGACCGGAATGCCATTCCGAGCAACATAGTTCGTGTCAATGAAGTCGGAGGTGGCACCACAGTCGACAAGCCCAGAGAGTGAGAGCTTCAGCGCTGGTGGTGGACTCGAGCTCTAACGGGAGGTGGAGGGAGTTCGCCCCAGGGGCAGCGGCAACGGTGTACTGCTTGGGCAGTTTCTTTTCCCAGGCAGTGAGGCGGCGGAGGACGATGACCGAGAGTCGCGGGCGGAGTCGGAGACGGAGTCGAGGCGGGGGCAGGAGAGGGTGTGTCTTTCGTTTCGGGCTCATTGTAGGGCAAGGAACTGCATTCATCATACAAAGAGGCAAAACGATTTATAGACGCGAACGAGGGCACACCAGTCACTCGTCGCGGGGGACAAAATCCTCTCCGGCCATCGACTCCGCTGCCGTCTCCGGCAGGGCAGCTGTGTCCGTGTAGCGGGCGATCAACTCCGCTAACATCTCGTCACCGAGTTGTTGGATTACCTCGTCGAGGATGTCCATCGAGCGGACATCGGCGGGGAGGGGGCAATCCCGGGCGAGATGGTTTGGGTCGCCACACCTGAAGCAGGCGCGACGAGGGGCACCCCGAGCCCTGGTGCGATCCAACTCCATAGGGACGGGAGCTGGAGGCGCCGGAGCGGGGGCGCGGGCTGCGGGTGGCACGACCGGAGCCACCGGGCGGAAAGGGGCCGGAGCCGGGATGCGGTTGACCGGAAACGGAGTCCGAATCAAACCGCCAGGCGTCTTGGGGGCGGCTGACTTGATCAGCTTGGCCCGGACCAGGGCCTCGTATTGACGGAAGGCCCGGGTGCGCCAGCTAAGGTAATCCCGGAGGTCCGGGGGGTCGTTCGAGGACGTGATTCCGTTATTGATCAAGGGGTCAAGTCCGTGGCGGAACTTGGTCACCTTGACCAGCGCGTCTTCGAATCCGGCGAGGTCCATCAGGTCCTCGAAGTCGCCGGTGTACTGGTAGACATCCTTTGTACCCATGTGATAGGCGGAAGTCTCCAGCTTGGAGAGAGCGTGATCTTGCTCGTTCTCCTCGACGAACCGGAGTCGAAACTCGGAACGAACGAGCCCCAGGACGGAAACGGAAACGGGGCTTTGCTTCCGTGGCGCTCCGCCCATTGCTGAGCGGGTCCTTCTGCCATAAACGACATGGCATAGCGGACAGCCTTTTCCTCGCTCGCCTCTCCGTTGACCACGAAGGCCTCAGGGGCAAGGCGGGCGTAGGTGCGGACCGCGTAGAGGAACGCGCGGCCGCGTTTCCGGTCGCCGTTGAAGGTGAACGGGGGGTTTGGTCGCAAGACCAATTTTGAGGCGAGGTTGATGTCGCCAAAAAGGGCTTCGAGTCGCCCTGGACCGGAGTCGGAGTCGGAATCGACGTCTCCAGCGATGGTGTTTGGGGTCCGCCAGCATTATTAGCGGCGGCAGCGGCAGCGGAAGCCTGGTTGGTGAGTAAAGCAAGGGCCTCAGTTAGGCTATCGATTTTCGCCTCGAGTGAGTCCAGCCGGGCGTCTGCGGTAGGAGTGACTCCGGACGGCATGACGGGTGCGGGGACCACAGGAGTAGAGGAGGAGGGGACAAGTGGCAGGGGCGGTGACGAGGGCGGAACGGACTCGTACTCCGAGCCTGAGTCAGCGCCGAACCTGGCAATCTTGTCCGGTTGATCCCGTAGAGAGTTTCTTCTGCTGTAAGGGCAACCCCGGAGGCCTGAGATCAAGGTCCTAGCAGGGGAGGATCCAAAGTGTGAACATTGGTAAGCGAATACAAATGAAGCTGACCTAGCAGGGGAGGATCCAAAGAGAAGAAACTCTAAGGGTCCGCCTGCTAGGTAGCTGACTATATACTGCTTGTCCGTAGCTGCCGCTGTCGGGCACAGAAGGCTTGGGCAGCGTCGCAGGCGAGGGTCCCAGGGCGACCGTCGGGGAGGGCGTTGACGGATCGGTGATTGTGCAGGCGAGATGGAGGGCCGGACCGGAGATGGAACCGGAGTCGGACCGGAATCGGAGGCGTCTCCGAGGGGCCGAAAGGGAGGTTCCCCTGACACCGACACCCAAATCACCGAACACTAGCACAACACGATCTCCCAGCTGTGTTCCAGTTGGATTATCGATTGGGTCGCCAAGTCCAGCCTGCTTTGCAAGCATGTCGTCTATTACATGTGCATTCTCCTGCGCTGAAGAACAGGGAGAGTCTATGAGACGAATGTGGACGGGCTCCGTTTTGGTTAAAGGGATGGCATCAACGGTTTCTGGCTCAGATAGTTGACTCGTAAACTGGCGAAAGTAGGCTGGGCCATTGTGGACAAGGTCCCGCAGAAACAGATATGCGTGGAATCGGGTGCGTCGGGAAAGACCATGGGTATCGAGGGAGTCAGGGTGGATGCGGAGGAAATCAATATCTGTGTGTGGAGGATATGCATCCTCTGGACTGTAAGGGCAACCTCGCGAGGCTCGAAATCAGAGTCCTGAGCAGAGGGGGAATCCTTAGTGAACTACTACAACAGGAAGGGACGCTACAGACTCACCTGAGCAGAGGGGGAATCCTTAGAGAACAAGCCAAGGAGCCCTCTGCCCAGGTGCACTACTATATACCAGTGACCGGAGTAATGATAGAGTGACTGCATAGTGACGGATGACGGATGGGAGAAGTCAGGCATCGCTAATGGACCCTAGGTGAGTGTCGAGTAGCCCTTGAAGCTCCGGAGAGGCAGGTTTGGGACCGTGATGCCAAGGGAGGGGCCCAGGCATCCCTAGAAGGCCTAAGAAGGGCTTCGGGAGGTCCAGGCTGCCTCTGGGCGTCTCCGCTTGTGACCGTGACCGTGACAACCGGAATCGGAATCGGAATCGGAATCGACTCCGGGTGTGTGACCGTGACGTGACGGCCGGAAACGGAGAGGGAAGGCGTGGAGCGGAAAGGGAAGGAGTCTGGTCTAGCCCAAGGGCCGGGGAGTGTCGAAGAGGACCAATGGGAATGGCGGCCAGCCATGACCACTGGAGGGTAGCGACAGGGGGTCACTCGGAGACGTCCCCGGACGTCTCCAGAGAGGTGGAGGTGTGAGGGCGTGCAGCCTGGGGCGCTGCAGTAGGCACGAGCCTTAACGGCAGTAGGCCTCACCCAGGGGAAGGCCCGATGACGGGGGCCGTGGTGGCGGAGTGGAGAGCGGAGCCATGGCAAGGCTCAGCCATCCGAACATAAGCCCGAACGCTGACATGGGTTGGGGACACCCAAGAGGTCCAGCAGGTAGAGATCGTAGGGAGACCTTGATAAGTGACAGCCCAGAGAGGCTAGAAGGCCATAGGCTCAAGGTCTCGGAGGGAAGTGGTGCGTCCACATCCGGAGGGGTCTCCGATGGCATTAGTGATCCCTGATGGTGACTCCGCCGGCGGAGAGACTCCCGGAAAGGGGTGGCCAGGGAAGTCGAAGACTGGGGATCACTGGATGTGGGATGTGGTGCGGGCAGTGGAGGGAGAGCGTCAGGGTGCGGAGACGCGGAGACACGAGCGGAGACGCGGAGACGCGAGCGGAGACGCGGCGCTTGATGGGATCAAGTGACGGCATCAGGGTTTCCCCTGACATGGACGTCGGTGTGGATTGGCATCTGAGCAACGCCATAGCTCTGCACTGCAGGAGAGATCTCCTGGCTGGAGATGACGCAATCGGAAAGTCATTCGCGATGTCATATGGATGAGTGTTGTGGTTGGCTGGTCTGCTGTTGATGTGGAATGCTTGAGGTCAATATCCACGTTGTCGTATGTGTAGGCATTCTCGCAATCAGTAGTGGATGTATGAATGACGGTTGTTGAGTCATCCGAGAGACTCGATACACACGAGTTGATTGTGCTTGGGGCGTTAGATATGCCTGCATGAGACAGGAAGTTCACGACACTCTCTGGGGTATTGCATGCATGTAAGAACACGCCGACAAGCGTTTGAAGGACATTGCAATGTGTATTTCGGTTGTTTATAAGAATGCTAAGGCAGACAACTTGTTTCTGTGAACACTATGTTAGATACAAGTGCACACCAGGACAGATTGGTATGCACCATACGAACCCGGGCCTTTCTCTGCTGCACCAGGACATCCTCAGATGTTTCAGCCTCCGCTGCCTCATCTTCACCATCCACAATACCATCTGCAGCCACTGGCGCTGCTGCACCCACTGTCCGACCCTTCCGCGTACGATACTCTGCTCTTTTCCGCGCCTGGAGCTCCAGAATATCCGATGGCACACTCAGCAGGCCATTGAATGTTGCCCAGAGAATTGGGGCACTCGATTCCATGTCCCTCGCCATGTCCTCGATGTCAATTTCCTCCAGCTCCTTAATCACGGCGTGCGATGCATTGAATTTTGCTGTTGGTTGGTGTGTCAGGATCTCAAGCTCTTCGGTGAAGGTTTCCGCGGCAATATGGCCCACCCATTGCCGAGTCCTATCCCTTGTCTCTTCTGCCGACAGAAACACACCCAAAATCTCGTCCGAGGCAGCGAGAATAGTCTGCACACGCACGTCATACTTGAGTGTTGACGCGTGCGCGAGAACGAATCGAAGGAAGTCGGGGATGGTGGTGTTGGCAGTTGCGACGGCATCAAGAATACCTAGGCATCCCGCAAGCGATAGCGGTGCCATGGCCAGCAGAAGGGCGTAGACAAGGAGGAGAGCTGGAGCGGCGGTAACGCCAACCGGAGATAAACGCACTGCTTCGGTGGTCGGACCGGGTTAGCTGGGCCAGCCGTCTTGCATAGCGGCCTAACTTTTCATCACACTTGTCACACTTTTCGGAGATTTCGGTTATATATCATCGGATTTGTATCTACGCTCTCGGATTCCGCTATGCAACGACGGATGGTTTAGGAGCCTGATTCGTTTCCAAGTTTCAACTCCGGTTCGTTGAGGAGAAGGAGCAAGATCACGCTCTCTCCAAACTGGAGACTTCCACCTATCACATGGGCACAAAGGATGTATACCAGTCCACCGACGACTTTGAGGATGTCATGGATAAGACCTGGCCCGTCCGCTCTGGCGCTGGTGTCGGGCCATCGCAGGCCCACAACATGCAGCACGTAACAAGGGGAATATGCGCCCCAGTAGGAGGAAGGCACACATGGGAAGCATGGGACTGAGAACGATGCGTCAAGCCGTTGCCGAGCCCAACTTGACACCAGGGGACTGGGGAGGAGTACTTGAAGGTTAGGAGTAGCGCCTGGCCCGCAAGAGATGTACGATAGTCCCCTCTGCGGCCAGGAACGGGGGCGAGGAGCAGCAGAAGAGGCCAGGATGTCCGATCACCCCTTTGCGGGCCCGCGTATATAATGTGTGATAGCATACCATGTACTATCGCTTAGATCGTCTGAAGAACTACTTCTCTCTGTGCAAGGAGGAATCACCGACTCATCGGGCCCAACACAACCTGATTCGAACCTTCAACTACCAATAGCAACAAGGGTCCGAGTTAACAGGCCCTTTCGGTTTCGATCCACCCTGCTCGCCGTACTTGCGGGTCCGACAATCCATCTGTTCTGTTCCAGGTGCACATTCTTAGGAGCAGACCTTGCCCGGCCTGACCCGTAGTCTGACAGAGGACCTGATGGACCTTGCCGGATTTGAAGACGCGTTGGTCAAGGTGACCAAGTTCTGCCATGGACTTGATCCCTTGCTCAACAATGGAATCACGTCCTCGAAAAACCCCCCAGACCTCCGGGATTACCTTAGCTGGCATACCCGGGCCTCCTGTCAATATGAGGCCCTGGTCCGGGCCAAGCTGATCAAGTCAGCTGCCCTCAAGACACCTGGCGGTTTGATTCGGACTCTATTTCCAGTCAACCGCATCCTGGCTCTGGCCCCTTTCCGCCCAGTGGCCCCAGTCATGCCACCCGTGGCCCACGCCCCCGCTCCGGCGCCTCCAGCTCCCATCCCTATGGAGTTGGATTGCACCAGGGCTCGGGGTGCCCTTCGTTGCACCTGCTTCAGGTGCGGTGACCCAAACCATCTCGCCCGGGATTGCCCCTCCCTGTGACGGGTATACTACCAGCAAGACGACTCAGAACCGTCGCAAGCGTTATCAGGCATTATCAGATAGAATCACTCACATGATCTCAGTAGTCACAATTAGTCACAAGTCTTGTAACATCAGTCGTGACCAAGTCACGCAGCAGCAATCTTAACCAAGTCCTCTTTTCTCTTGTGTCTCGTCTTTCCTACTTCTCGTGGACCCGTCCCGACTGCCTGAGTACGCTTTCCTGCTCCCTCCCGCCGTAGGCTACGGGTCAACCGTCGGGCAGCCATTGGATTCCAATGGCTGTCCGACCCCTTATCGATACTCCAAATCCTTCGCTTCCACCCCGTAAGCCCCTCGAACGACAGCGTCACAAATGGAGCCCACCGCGAGGGCTTACCGCCTGGGCTGGGGGGCGAAGAGATTCACTTAAAAAAAGAGAAACGAGGAAGATTTGTCGCTGCTACGTGGCACTTCTCACGGCCGGAATCCTGCCGCGAGAAGTCCGCGATACTACTGTTTCAACTTGACTGGGCTGACTACCCGATTGATGCTACCCCTGAACGCCCAGCCAACCCGCTTAAATTCGAGTCCGTAACTCTGTGACGGCAAGAAAAAACTTCTCCTTTTACCTTCACGTCGTCTTCCGACTCGAACTATCCTCGTTCCCCTCCATGGCGTCCACTAGCGCTCCGAAGATTGTCCTACGAAAGGTTTCGAGCTCGACGTCAGCTCCCAAAACTTCTTCGCTTCCGCCCAAGACTAGTCGTCCCCCGGTCAGCCCGGATTTGCCAGAGGCGGCTGGATTCCAGCCGCCAGCTCATCAACTCGACGAAGAAGAAGTACCTAGGAGCTCGGCATCCAGCGCTTTCGACTCCAACTCGCCATGGACGCCGCTACAGACGCCAGCAGCCCCAGGATATCGTGGCGTCTAACCTGCAGGCTCCTCCCCCGTCCCCGTCACCGCTGTTGAGCGCGAAGGCCCCCGTTTTCCGCCCGTCAACGGGTGCTGCCGCCAAGCCCGAAGAAGGCAGAGGTCGAGCAGCCAGCGGAGCCTCTATTAAGACCGTGCGCGCCTCCGACGAAGAACGGGATTTAGAACGGCAGAACTCATCGGGAGAAGAATCCTCACGCACTTCGGACCATTCAGCAGGTCAATCCTCTAACTGGCAAAAGATATCACCCCCGCGGCAGCTACCCGCTAGCCCTACGGCTGTTAGCTTTCGACCGCCCCCTCCCCACTTCCGAGATGAATCTATTACTACGGCTCTTCGCACGGGTGCTGGATCCCCGCATCCGGCTGTACCTGAAATCTTCAAATATCTCGGAGAAAGCTTGGGGTTATACTACGAATCGCTGGAAGACACCGTTATTCGACATCATCAAGAGGATCCTGAATCAGAGTTGTACGACCCGATAATAACTTACGGACTGGAAGGAGTCGAACAGGTTCTGGATATCCAGAAGCTAGATTCGCTGAGGCTTATACTCAGACGTTACCACTCGCCGCGCCGCGACATGACTTGGGACTCGTTGGAGGAAGAGTTGGATGCCATCTCGTCCTTGCCAGCAACGGACAGCTTAGTCGCGCCCGTATTCCCTCAAACGGAACCGCGGTACTTCCGCCTGGAAGTCAAAACTTATGCGCGAGTGGCCCACGTTGTCTTCGCCCTTCATCAAGTTCTCGAAGGGTTGGAACAGTTGGAGAGACAGCCAAACCGATCTAACTTCCAAGTCGATTACGGTTTCAAGCTCCTTTCGGTGCTGAATCGGGCTAGCGAAGCTGACAAGATATTACTGGCTTTCGGAACGGTACAGCTACGCATCGCAGGGGCTAGAACCCGAGTGCGTCGCATTCTGGACCATTGGGGCAGAGTTGCAAGGCAGGAGTCAGAATCTTCGGCTTCCTCTTTGGCGTCAACTCGATCGGAATTGAGGATGCGTACGGCGGCTTTGGACCCTGAACCGGCGCTACGCCTCTATGTTTCCAGGCCGGACTACCAGGAGTACCTCGAGCAAGCAAATCCTACTGTATGGCAACGGGTCAAAGCGCACTATCAAGCCGCTCAGGACGTATATTCGCAACCCTACCGATCGGATTCCTGGCCTACGCATCCGCAAAGCTCCGCTTCTACCTATGAAACCCATCATACCTACGGCTACGCCGATTCTCCCTCAGGCCGGGGTCCGTTTTGCTAATCTGGCCAGCGCACCGTCCCCCATTTCTCATCGACCTTTCCCCGCTCCTTCGGCCGCTGCACGTGCTGGAATCCAGAACGTGTTCGGCAACATAGCTTCTCTAGGAGACAACGGGACTGGGGGGCCATATGTGCCGCTGACAGGGCGCGAGTCGAACACTCGCACGTATACGGAACGGGGGGCATACAATCCCTACCCTACTTTCGCTGCCGGGCAACAGCCTCAGTTACCCTCTACGTCTGGCTTCCAGTATCCTCAGACTCAACCTTTCCAGGCTCCTGCGCCCTCGCGCGGCGCCCCTCAGCCCTCGGATTCGTCTTCGGACGAGTCAAGCAAGGAACGTTCAGACAATGGGCGGGGATATCGCGGGCCAGCGGGAGGAGACGGGCCGCCGGGACCGCCCGGTCCACCCGGTCCACCCGGACCGGGAGGAGGATCAGGTGGTCCACCCGGTGGCGGGCCCCCGTATGGCGGCTACTCTGGCGGATTCCCGTTCGGGGGAGCTCAGCCGCCTAATCCGGGGGGCCCACCTGGTGGTCCGCCTCCTCCGCCGGGAACGGGGCCGCCTTTCAACCCACCGGATGCCGGATGGGGGGCTTATCACCCGTTTCAAATCGACACTCGGATGAAGCAGTCCGAGGTACCCGCCTGGGACGGAAAGGGAGATTCGTTGATCAAATATTTGGTCGGCATGAAGGACCTGGCTAGAAAAGGGCCACTGATTCAATACCAAATGGCGCAAGTTGCCCCGCAGCGCTGGGAAGGTGCCGCGAAGGGATGGTGGGACGTTCTCCCGGACGTCGTGAAGGACGTGCACCAGTCTTCATGGGTTCATATGCTCAGAGCTATTACCTCACAGTTCATGTCCTCTCGCTGGGAGCGTGAAGAAATAAGCCGTTTCGAGTCGATGTTCTTCCGTCAGAAGGGCCACGAAGAAGAGCTACCTACCGACTTCTTCCAACGAAGAATTCTCCTAGCGAAATTCCTGTATGCTACGGACGACGAGGCTACTGCCGTACATCGTATCATTCGCAACCAGCCCGACGCCTGGAAGGAATCCATCGATGAAGTCCGTTGCCCTACGATATCACACCTGATAATGCTGGCTGAACACTACGGCGAAACTCTAATCTATACTTGGGAGTCCGCTAAAATCATCCGCGCTCTCCGTGATCAACAGGAGAACGGCTCTAAACGACGATTCTTCCGCGCTAGATCCGCTAATCTCGCTGCAATAGACGAGGATTGGGAGGAAGCGGAGGAGGAGTCGAAGGAAGCTGATGAAAAGGAAGCGATGGCAGTCACTAACCCTCGCTGGAGTTCTCGAGTCAACCGTTCCAAAAGTATATGGCCCAAGGGAGGCGAGATGAAAGGAGTCAAATTCACCAGGGACGACTCAGTGAAGACAAACCCTCCTCCGAAGGGGGATTGCTTC